TGATGTGATAAGGAAATAATATCTTGCTTATAAAACTTGCAAAATATTAACTTTCAGATTTTTATCGGTTTTTAGTCATTTGGTTGATAAAAATTTGAAAACGTCTGTAATGAAGACTAATTCTTACACAACTTTACCGAAATCTACCATATATTTGTCTTAGATTGTTTCATAATGAAGATTTGCTTCTTAATGTAGGCAGTTGTTCAGTATCACGATAGTAATATTACAATTGGCTGCCATGATAATCTAATTGGTGAAATTCATTGGTTTCCAATAAGCAAATCTAATTAATTTGGTCATGCGCTTCCATTTACTAGATATATTTACAGTATTCTTTTTTAACGTCAGAGCTCTACTGATTTTTTTTCATATGATAACAACTGGTTAACAAACTTATGGGGTCCAGATAAGTTGATATGGTGTTTGTATGAACTAATGGTTCTTTTGTACTTGATAACTGCCTGACTTCGAATCACAAGTACAATACATTCGTTCGTGCGCATTTAGTTCTCTTCGGTCTAGAATACGTTATTTCGCGGATTCTTAGTTCGTATAATAATCCAAATACTTCTAATCATAACAGATGGTCTGGTAAGTTCTGTGATATTTGACCTTGAATATATCTCTTGATATGAATGTTCTTGTTAGCTCCCTCGACCAAGAGATTTATTATTGGGTACTGACATTAGAACAAATGTCTTGCGAGTGTGGTGCGTGCTACTGATGTCGACAAACATAAGTAGTATGTATCATCAATCAAAAGTGAAATGCCTGGCGGTAGAAGGTCAAGATCGAAGAAAAGAGAACGAGAATGATTGGTGTGGGAACGAAACAAGAATTAAGTCTTAGATGATTGATTAGCATTTTGCAAATGAAGTATTTACTGTATGGTTCTCAAATTTTACTAATAGGTCCCGTAATTTTGTATTCAAATACATTCGATCGTCCTCACTTGTGTTCTCGTTCACTACACAAGTAGTCTACATTACGGTGGTTTTCCTTTACCCAAGTACTTCTGATTGTACCACAGACTAATGTATCCTATCATACAGTAATGTGTATAGCCTTCGCCAGGTATGAATGCTACTTTTTTCATTTAGTAAATACAATTGACAGTTTTCCAACATTGGCTTCCTACACCAAGATCCAATCATTGATTTAGAGTATGTAAACAACAGTCCTAACAAAATTTAGTCTTCCGATATGGTATCGGTAAATCAATTGACTGACTGTTAATGTAGTTAGTGTGTAAAGGTGCTGATTTCCGTAGTTAGACGAAGGAATAACCGCAGTAAGTAGTTGAAGACTAATGAAACAGCTGAAAATAGGCTTAATCATCACGTCGTATTGGCGAGTTAATATTGCAGGCACTAAGTTCGATGAGACTGCTTTCATTAGTTGGCTTTTGACTTAAGCATGTATTATTTTAACCCAAAAAATTTATAGTCTTGAAGTATTAATTAATTAGACAGTTACTCGAAGATTTCAATACATAAAGCTCTTCATAGTTAATCTTGCAAACTGTCCTACATACTACTTGAGCAATAACCTATAATTAACACAGACATTCTGTTGAACTGTAAGTAGGCTTTATTATAATAATTACTGGTGAATGTAAAACTGAAGTAAACCAATTTGTTCAAACATCAAAATGTATAACGTTTAATAAATAACATCCCAAATATATGTTAATCATACTAAAGCTTGTAGCGTGGCGTCGCGTTGTGGAAAACTGTGAACACCGCTACCAAGAAACACGTGCCAAATAGATCAGAAGGCGTAAGAAGCTCGTTCCAAATGACTCCATAAAATCCCCGAGAAGCCGAATACCAGAAGGCAATTAATGGACCAAGTCGAGGTTATATTTGCTGGCGATCTCGTGGCATCGAAAGGATACCGAGATCGTGCCAGGATACAACCTTGGTTACAGAAGGTAACCGAATTCGCGCGAAGTTACAATCGAAGTGTAAGTATAAGAATGGAAGCACGAAATAGCTGTCATTAGCACAGTCAAACAAAAGCACATTAAAACAAACACTGGTACAGTTGGTTATAATAATAATTGTTTTTATTAAACCAGTCGTGTTCTCGTGATAAACGTGAGTCACTACAGGAGCCCCCCGCTAGAAAGGGTTTACACTTTCGATAAATAGCGGTTTGAATCGTGGGACTGATCGGCTGACGAGCGATTGTAGGACGGAAGAATTGGCGAACAGGAAAGCGATCGTTGATCGTCGAGTTGCCAACGAAGGTCGTTTTCGGAGAACGGTACCAGGAGCGATGTGCTGTATTTGTTGTTTGAGTTGGCATGCTACACCAGAGTGGTTTGTATCCAGAATCTGAAGATGGCGTTCGTAGGGGTCCGGACCAGAAACGCTGCAGACGTAGGACGAAACCACGTTGATCCGATGAACCAGAAGCGACCATAACGACCAAGTTCGAGACCAAGCGTGTGCCAAGCATTCGAAACGAAGATATCGACTGAGTACGTTGACAAGAGCGTGGGTGATCAGGCCAGCTTTCGCCAAAGTTGACTGAAGTCGACGGAACCAAACGGAGATGGTCGAAGGCGTGGGCTCAGGAAACAAAAAGAAAATCAAAAAAGAGAAGAGTGTAGCATGCGTGTAGTATAGGAATAATCCTACACCGTATCGTTTTTTAACTGTGCGGCTAGTCGCGGAAGCGTACGGGTAACCGTACTCGGCGACCGGAACGTGAGACGGTAGTCTCGTTCGCGTCGCGTGAGCCTGCAATCTCATCCGAAGTCAAGGGCGGCGTGGTCTGCTGATCTGGACGTGAGACTGTCGTCTCATCCGTAGACGGTGCAGATGACGCGTGCTGTTGACTGGGACGTGAGAATGAGGTCTCAGATGTATCTAGCGTGGGACCTGAAGATGGTTTGAGGATCCCGCTAGTAGGTTTGCTAGGTCTAGCATTGAATCTCAGGTTATCAGATAGGGCACTGTCATCGACGTGTGCTGGTTTGAGACGATCAATGCTGACGATCTCGACGCGTCCATATCGATCAACCTTGAAGGTCTTTTCGTGACGAGCGATCACGTGAAAAGGGCCTTCGTAAGGTTGTTGCCAAGGTTTGCGTACCGAATCTACTCGTATGAAAACATGTGAACAGGTAGATAACTCTCGAGGGAGAGCGACCTGTCGATGTTGTATTCGAGTTGACACCGGAGACAGCGTTCGCATAAATGCAGACAGTCGATGGACGTAGTCTGATTTACCGAAATTAGGTCTGCTCCGTGGTGTGAAGAATTCTCCGGGCAGACGCAATGTCGTGCCGTATACAAGTTCAAGGGCGGAACATTGGATATCTGCCTTTAAGCTCGTTCTGATCCCTAAAAGAACGAGCGGTAAGGTTTCGTGCCAGTTGCCGTTTTCGTGTGCTCGTAGAGCATTTTAAGTTGGCAGTGAAACCGTTTACTTAACCATTTGGTGCTGGGTGGTAGACGGATATGCTTATGCGTATGCATTCCGTACCAAGCAGCCGGGTCAGCGAGGAGAATAGTTAATAGGGTAACATTTCTCGAATAAAGCGTGGAATTCATCATCACGCGAATAAAAAGTAACAAGGATTCGGTACACATACATGTGAGTCTATTATATTAATACTATTCTTATCGTTATCCGTCATGTCGCGTATATTATATATTAAAAAATATGAAAATATACGACAGACGTGGATAGATAAATCATAGACTCACCGAATTGGCTTCTTTGGAAGATTTGATCAGAAGTTGAGGCGTGTTCCAAACTTTGGGATCACCAATTGTAGCGTGGCGTCGAGTTGAGTTAACTATGAACACCGCTACCAAGAAACACGTGCCAAATAGATCAGAAGGCGTAAGAAGCTCGTTCCAAATGACTCCATAAAATCCCCGAGAAGCCGAATACCAGAAGGCAATTAATGGACCAAGTCGAGGTTATATTTGCTGGCGATCTCGTGGCATCGAAAGGATACCGAGATCGTGCCAGGATACAACCTTGGTTACAGAAGGTAACCGAATTCGCGCGAAGTTACAATCGAAGTGTAAGTATAAGAATGGAAGCACGAAATAGCTGTCATTAGCACAGTCAAACAAAAGCACATTAAAACAAACACTGGTACAGTTGGTTATAATAATAATTGTTTTTATTAAACCAGTCGTGTTCTCGTGATAAACGTGAGTCACTACAAGCTCATCAGAAACAAGCTTTTCGTATTACATAAAAAAGAATTCCCTAAGAGATTGTTCTTATGTAATATATATGTATATATAATCTCAAGAATGCTTATTCTTTTAAATTTGTGTGCAATTTCTATGTCTATCTATCATACTGTTGATACTATACGATTATGCATAGTATGATATACCTAATATCTGAAATCAGTTTAGAATTCATCATCAATGTTTAATGGAAGCTCAATGAAAAACAAATACATACTTTGTTTAACTTTGAGTTAATATTCAACTCAATCATTGATATGTGGTGTTAAATTGTTAGAAAAAAAAAACATTGGAATACCTAGAATCATAGTTATTGATTTTATGTGTAAGTGATGATATTAAAAACAAAAAAAGAAAAGAGAAGAAAGAATTGTTTAGAGTAATTTATTCATCTTCAGAAATGATCAATATAACATTTTCAATTCCTATATATTTATAAAACATGGTGAGTTGTTTTTTTTTGTTTTGTTTTGTTTAAGGGTTACTTTCCAAAATTTGTTTTTATACATACATAGGAATGTATTTGATCAACAACAACGAAAAAAAAAAGAAGAAAATAATCCAACCAAAATAACTTTATTGAGTCAATTATTGAATAACATTCAAATGTTTACACAGGAAACTAAGTGCATACAAAAAAATAAATGAAAATGTTGAAATGTTTCAACATTTTGAAACAATAAATACAAACATGTATTGAATTGAGTTAATAATAATAATAATAATCAGAAAAATTCGGTAAGAGACATTGGATTATATGAATGATTGATAAATTCAGTCCAAAGGAAAGAAGTTTGTATTATCCAAAGGTGAAAGTTTAATTTTATCGTTCATATATTTATCCAAAGCTTGTGTAAAGTGGTCTACAGTTACTAGTAAACTAGCTCGCCTAAAAAAATATAAATAGAATTATATATGTATAAAAGAGTGCATAAGTTTTGGTAAACAAAACTTAAGAAGTTAATAAAAGTGTAATTTCCATTGTAATGAAGGTTATCAATGTTAGTATATACTAGATTTAATCTGGAAGTTTGCCACTGGCGTGTGTGAAAAAAAAATTAGATACTTTAGAATTTTAGATTCACATTATTCAACAGCATTTTGATTGTAATCAGTTTTTCATGAATTTACTGGGTGTCAGATTATATATATACTCGGTACGAGATCTCTACTCGAACACTAGTAGTCGACTCAAAGCTTATGACAAACTGTCATCAGAATTATCAACTCCAAATGTTCTTCAGGGCTACCTACTTTCTCCATTTTAACTTCATCACAGACATACTTCTAAAGATAACGATCTTCAGGAATTGATCTACCAAGGGATCAACTAATTGACTGACAATAAACAAAGTAAATAGCTCTATTTGGCGAGAACGCTGACAAAACCCAGTTTTGTGATCGCTTCGATCAACAATGCAAGTATGTTTAGGATGTGACTCTCCTTTTTAAAGTCAAAAATGTTACTTAGGGATTGGCTCGCTCCAGCGCTTGAATTAATGACTACAGTGAAGTAGTCGAGGATATCGACCGCTTCACTTATTTTGAGAGTTTCAATAGTTTTGATGGGCTGGTGTCTGACGAAATCTTGGCAAGGATTCAGAAACCCAGTTGGCTACACCAAGTTGCATCATCTGTGGTGCAGGTGAGGACCACTTAACTGAGCATTAGTCCACTCTGTCATTCTTTATGAAATATAAAATATGGTGATTTAAAACAGAGAGTATTCATAGGTTACTAGTACTCGATCATAGGTGTCTTCAAAGCATTAGTAGCATGAGTTGAAGTCATTGAATGGGAAGTACTGAGGTTTGGCAGTTGGTTGGTAAACAGTGGAGTTTCATCAGCCGAAGTGTTTGTGCTTTGTTTCTCTAATGATCAAATAACTCCTAACTCGACGAGCGATCTGTGGTGTAGGAGTAGGTTGGAAATATGCTGTTACTACTTCTACCAATCTGGAGTTTGTCCCGATAATCTCATCTAGCTGTGCTATTGTGGTGTGGCAACTCAAACGAATACACATATTTGCCAGATTCCAGTGGTTGACTAAGTGCAAAAGAAATATGAATACGATTGTGTGACTTTAGTAAGTCAGTAACAATTAAAATTTTATTTAACAGATAAATAAATATAACTTGGAGTGAATACTAAAGTAGCTTTGTTAATAAACTATGAACGATAACGGTGTCATAAAACTTACGTATCATCACCTTCAAGAAAAGACCATAAACATGCAAATGCTGCTTTACGACATAGTTCAGACAGATCACTTCCAGAAAGTCCTTCAGTTTTACTAGCGATCTGCATGAAATCATCTTCATCGAGAGCTTTAGCAACTGGGTCATCCTTAAGAAGTACTTTTAAGATATGCTTTCTTTGATTTACGTTAGGAAGTGGAACATTTATCTGAGATAAAACAGAAAAGGACAGTCATAAAAGGTAATCTAACTTGATTTACTTGTGTAATTTTAATCTTGAATTTTGGACCTTTAACATGGTATTAAACATTTTCAGTTTATGCAATTATTTGGTTTGAGGCAGTGTAATCTGAAACAATGACCTTATAAGTTTCATCGACTAGAATAAGCTACTGATGTGATCAACTCTGAAGTAGGAAAATAACTGACACATACCTTGGTCCGATAGGTGAGTACTATGAAAGGTTGCTAAATTTCCAAACAGCAGAATATCGATTCCCACTGATACATATACAATTGTTTAAAGCATGTGAATTGTGATTAAAAAAATACAATAAAATTGTTAATGTTAATATGACTCATATAAAATGTTAACTTGAATCTGCGTATATGTTAAATGAAATTTTAAGATCCATGATCAGAATAAATATGGGTCAAATACGCAGATTCAAGTTAACATTCTATATGAGTCATATTAACATTAACAATTTTATTGTATTTTGTTTATCACAATCCTAAATTCATATGCTTTAAACGATGTACTTTGCCCTTAACCTGGCCATTTTTCGGATTATTGATTTGGATATATAATTGTAGAACATGAAGAGAATTTATCGAAAAGAATATTCTTCGTTCAAATACTGGTCTTTTAATATGACGGGGATCTTTAAACGATATACAATTGTGTTTAGTAGAGTACACTTCATTATTTTAGTAATAAAATTTCCAAAAACAACCCACTAAGTAACAAAACGATGGGATATTGCGTATAAATATTTATAATTTACCTTAAAAGATAAACGACGTAATATAGCTTGATCTAAATCTCCAGGTCTATTTGTTGCGCCTACAACTACTATTTGAGTATTATTATTTGTTATTAATCCATCCCATAAAGACATAAATTGAGTTTTCATCATACGTGTCGCTTCGTTATCCAAATGAGAACGTGTAGTTAAAAAAGAATCTAAGGGGAGAAACAGACACAATTGAGTCAATGAAATTATTCAATAATATACAGGAAATATTTAACAACTCATTACATGCACTACATATTTACTTTTCAATACGAAAAATCAAAGTTTACGTCAACTGCAAATATAATAAAAATGGTCAGTTAAGTGAATATTTTGATTGTGATTAATAATATAAAGTCAACTAAATTAAGAATGTAGGAAACATTCAATATTATCATCCAGAGATGATTATTCTACTTTACAAATTAACTAAATTTGGGATAAACAGATTATCGAATTTTGATTGAGTGGATGTATCGGTGTTTATTGTCAGATCTGGAGTTCTGCTCTTCAATGTAGGGCTGTAGATATACACTATTAAAAGCGGAATAGGTGATAATGCTCTGTGTTACACGATTATCTAGCTGACTACAGACTCTAAAATTGACAAATATCGTTCACCAATAAATTGGCAAGTATTTTATGTGGTAATATCTTGTCACAGTAATAACTGCAGATTAATAGTAATCATCATAGAAAACATTACTGCAAATTTAGTAGTCAAAAATGTTCAGCGGCTTTTAGTTAAGTGGGTATTATGATCATTCATAACTCCGCCTGGAGTCCCTCCGGGGGCTACTGCCGGTCCCAAGCCCGGATAAAGAAGGAGGGTTGGGCATGGGGTTAGCGTCCCCATCCCGTAGAAAACTAACTCGCTAAAAAACGCTAACCAGAAAAAATTATTCAAACCTTTTAAACTCTGCCCTGGGAGTCAGAAGGTCTTCATTTAGAAGAATTATGACGCCTCATGATGAAAGCCGAATTCCTTCGGAAGTTACGAGGCCGATGCCCCTTCTGACAACCAGAGCAATCATTTATTTAGGTACATGGAATGTTCGTACAATGTGGGACACCGGGAGAGCCTTCCAAATTGCTGCAGAAATGAGAAGATACAACCTAGAGGTACTTGGGATCAGTGAAACACATTGGACACAAGTTGGACAACAACGACTAACTACAGGAGAGCTCCTGTTATACTCCGGCCATGAAGAAGAAAATGCACCACATACACAAGGAGTTGCATTGATGCTGTCCAAACAAGCGCAAAATGCACTTATAGGATGGGAATCTCATGGACCAAGGATCATCAAAGCCTCGTTCAAAACAAAGAAAGAGGGCATTTCAATGAACATCATCCAATGCTATGCGCCTACCAACGACTACAATGAAGACGCTAAAGATCAATTCTACAATAGGCTGCAGTCAATCGTCGAGAAGTGCCCAACAAAGGACCTGACCATTCTGATGGGAGATTTCAACGCCAAGGTTGGAACGGACAACACTGGATATGAAGACATCATGGGACGACACGGACTGGGAGAAAGAAACGAAAATGGTGAGAGATTTGCAAACTATGTGCCTTCAATAAACTGGTCATAGGCGGCACCATATTCCCACATAAACGCATACACAAAACCACATGGACTTCACCGGATCACACCACGCAAAACCAAATCGACCATATTTGCATCAACAAAACGTTCAGGAGGACTATAGAGGACGTGAGAACCAAGAGAGGAGCTGATATAGCATCAGATCATCACTTGCTGGTCGCCAAGATGAAATTGAAACTCAAGAAGCACTGGACAACGGGGCGGACAATATCACAAAAGTTCAATACGGCCTTTCTTCAGGATACTAACAAACTCAACAAATTCAAGATAGTCCTCAGCAACAAGTTCCAGGCCTTTCATGATCTACTCAATGGAGAAGGAACTACTGTGGAGAGCAACTGGAAGGGGATCAAAGAGGCAATCACTTCAACATGTCATGAGGTCCTGGGTCACAAGAAGCACCATCACAAGGAATGGATCACTGTTGATACACTGGATAAGATTCAAGAAAGAAGGAACAAGAAGGCAGCAATCAATACCAGTCGAACAAGAGCAGAAAAAGCCAAGGCACAAGCTGAATACACAGAAGTAAACAAACAAGTGAAGAGGAGCATCAGAACCGACAAACGTAAATATGTGGAAGATTTAGCAACGACGGCGGAAAAGGCTGCAAGAGAAGGAAACATGAGACAATTGTATGACACGACAAAGAAACTCTCTGGAAATCGCCGCAAACCAGAACGACCAGTGAAAAGCAAGGAAGGCAAGGTAATCACCAACATTGAAGAGCAACAAAACAGGTGGGTAGAACACTTCAAAGAACTCTTGAATCGACCAGCTCCACTGAACCCACCCAACATCGAAGCAGCACCCACGGACCTCCCAATCAATGTTGGCCCACCAACAATTGAAGAAATCAGCATGGCCATCAGACAAATCAAGAGTGGCAAAGCAGCAGGACCGGACAACATCCCAGCAGAGGCACTAAAAGCAGACGTAGCGGCAACTGCAAGGATACTCCACATTCTCTTCAATAAAATTTGGGATGAGGAACAAGTACCAACAGACTGGAAAGAAGGACTTCTGATCAAAATACCGAAGAAAGGCGATCTCAGCAACTGTGATAACTACAGGGGCATCACTCTTCTCTCAATACCGGGAAAAGTCTTCAACAGGGTATTGTTAAACAGGATGAAGGACTGCGTAGACGCCCAACTTCGTGACCAACAGGCAGGATTCCGTAAGGATAGATCGTGTACAGACCAAATCGCAACTCTACGGATCATTGTGGAACAATCAATTGAATGGAATTCATCACTCTACATCAACTTCATTGACTACGAAAAGGCATTTGATAGCGTGGACAGAACAACACTATGGAAACTTCTTCGACACTACGGCGTGCCTCAGAAGATAGTCAATATCATACAGAATTCATATGATGGATTACACTGCAAAATCGTGCATGGAGGACAGTTGACAAAGTCGTTCGAAGTGAAGACCGGTGTTAGGCAAGGTTGCTTACTCTCACCCTTTCTCTTTCTCCTGGTGATCGACTGGATCATGAAGACGTCAACGTCTGAAGGGAAACGCGGGATACAATGGACATCTAGGATGCAGTTGGACGATCTAGACTTCGCAGATGATCTGGCCCTTCTATCCCAAACGCAGTAACAAATGCAGGAGAAGACGACCAGTGTGGCAGCAGCCTCAGCAGCAGTAGGTCTCAATATACACAAAGGGAAAAGCAGGATTCTCCGATACAACACAGAATGCACCAATCCAATCACAATTGACGGAGAAGATTTGGAAGATGTAAAAACCTTTACATATTTGGGCAGCATCATTGATGAACAGGGTGGATCTGATGCAGATGTGAAGGCGCGGATCGGCAAAGCAAGAGCAGCATATTTACAACTGAAGAACATCTGGAACTCAAAGCAACTGTCAACCAACACCAAGGTCAGGATTTTCAATACAAATGTCAAGACAGTTCTACTGTATGAGGCAGAAACCTGGAGAACTACGAAAGCCATCATCCAGAAAATACAGGTGTTTATTAACAGTTGTCTACGCAAAATACTTCAGATCCGTTGGCCGGACACTATTAGCAACAACATACTGTGGGAGAGAACAAACCAGATCCCAGTGGAGGAAGAAATCAGGAAGCGCTGGAAGTGGATAGGACACACATTGAGGAAAGCACCCAACTGCGTCACAAGACAAGCCCTCACATGGAATCCTGAAGGCCAAAGGAAAAGAGGAAGACCAAAGAACACATTACGCCGGGAAATGGAGATAGACATGAGAAAAATGAACAAGAATTGGATGGAATTAGAAAAGAAGGCCCAGGACAGAGTGGGTTGGAGAATGCTGGTCGACGGCCTATGCTCCATCGGGAGTAACAGGCGTAAGTAAGTAAGTATGATCATTCATATATATAATATATATATATATATATAATGATAGCTAGAGTTAATCATTTCTTATGTACCTACATGCTACGTAGTATAACTGAAGTAGTGGACTATTTTATTCAATAATGGTTAACACTCTATTAACTGTATGTTTACGAAACTAATGAGCAGTTTCTCGACTTTGAATGTACTCTTTCATCTAATTTCAGTCAATCATTAGTCATAATAAAAACATTAACTCTGACAAAAATATGCGTCACTTCGAGTTGCCATACCACGTCAACACGAAGAGAAGTTAATAAAGAGGAATACTAAAATAATCAAAACAATAGTATTGATGATAGTGAGAAAGTTTAAACATCAGAGGATATTTATTCGTGAAAATCATATTTAAAATAACCTCGGTAATGGCAAGTTAAATAATTCCAACGTTTTGTCCAGCAATCTTGTTCACATTATATCCAAAAAGTTATAATCCTTATAGGTTCTGTGGAATAACAAAAACTCACAGGAATACACCACTAAGACCAATGATGGATTCAACGAATTCACCAACATATAAACTAGCGAAATACTTAGCTAGGATACTCAGACCATATGATAAGACGGTTAATCATGTAATTAAAAACTCCACTGATTTCAAGAATAATATTGATACCATTCACATGGAAGATGATGTACTGATGGCAAGTTTGACATTTCTTCCTTATGTACTAATGAACCTATCAATAGAGCACTGGATTTTATTTATGATTGTTTGGAAACTGACACATTTGAATTTATGATGCCCGTTAGATCCTTTCGAGGTTATTATTACGTGTTTTGAACCGTATCTGCTGTCTAACTCATTCTAATTTCGAGATCTTTACAGATAAAAGTAAGGTGTAGCAATGCGTTCACCAGTTTCTCGGATTTTACCGAATTTATTCATACATTCCTTAGAAACCAGTGCTATCACAAAATGAGTAAATCCACCCAAGGTTTGGTTACAGTATGTAAATGACATTTTTGTCACCATTAAACGAAATGGTCTAGAAGAAATATTTGAAAATGTAAACATAGCGCATAGCATTACGCTACCCGAGGACATAGAATCCACGGACAGAAACTAGCGTTTCTCACTTGCTTGACTCAATGAATGTACAAATGTTACAGTGGTGAAAAATTTAATCAGAGGGAGTTATAATCTCATTATAGAGAAAGAAGACCAGCAGACTGAATTGAAAGTAATATTGTCCATAATTAGGGCAAACGACTACCCTCAAGTTTTTAAAGAATACTGTTAGGAATGAAAGAAAAACTAATGTATACCAAAAGAATGGAAGAACACTGTGGTCATCCCATACTGTAAAGAAACATTGATAGATATTAATAGGGTTCTAAGTAAACATATTATAAGTGTATTTTCATGCCAGTGAAACCATGAGATCAGCGTTAGTGAAAGTCAACGAGAGGTTTCCAAAGGAAGAACAACAGAATGAAGTCAACTCTCATGATTGTGATGCAGCTTATGTGGGAGAAACATCTAGACAGTTGAATGAGAGATTAAAGAAACACAAACAATGTTTGAAACATATTCCTAATCTTCGGTTGATCTAAAGAAACTGAATAATAAGTCAGCGATATCGTTACATGCGTTCGAAACAGGATAACAGATCAACTTTGAAGGGACCAAAATACTTCAGATAGGGTTTGGCACGCATGAAGAAAGATTGATAGCAGAAGCGCTGTTTATACGGGCGATTTTGAACACAACCTGGGTAGAAAATATGGTATTCAACTGGCTACCCCTTGGCAAATGTTCAGCAACGAGTAATTGAACCCTATTTCTATCCAACCTGTTTATTTCACATACACTGTTCTACCGCAAAAAGTAATCTGTATATTTTGTTTATGAATTCGATAATTCTCATTTTACATACTAACCAACATTTCGAAAACATCTTCAATTTGCACTTTTATTTTTACTTTTAATGAATAAACTGACATTTAATATCAACTATTGATAACTTAAACGTACACATACACACATATTCATTCATTTATCTTCACACTGTGAATTTTCACATGATTCACATCTTACTGACCCATGTTACCCTACATACTAAATTCATCATCTGAATATAATTGGATAAGCATTTAGTGTAGATTTGATTTGATTGTCAAGGGTTTTTGATTACTATCCTGAAGAAGTCCAAACATGTTTGCCGTACGAAACGTTGGAATTATTTAAATTTCAATCACTGATATTATTTTAAATATAGTTTTCGCAAATAATGTCTTTTATATATTCGGTGTCCGATTTCTGTCAAACTATTCGTTCGAATATTAATGAATATTCGTATAAGTTAAAGAATATTCTTCATAAAGAATGGATGAAGTTTAGAAATTAAAATACGAAAGTATATTGAGGTTCAAAACTTCATGAAAAATGAAAAGTGAACTCCTTTGAGGCACAGTGAATGATACTGACCCATGTCACTCAAAATTTTCCAACCACTGATCGCAACTCAATTCGATCGTCAGTACCTATCATCATGGGTCAGTCTAATGCAACCAAATAATAGTCAACTAAGAGTACTTAGGTCGAATTGTAAATTGAAAGAATTTTATTCACGGATTATAAAAATCAGAGATTCATAAAATCATTGAGAAATAAAATTTCATCTCTAATGAAAAACTCAGATTTTCATTAGTAGTATTTTTACAACCATCATATTACCCGTGTATAAACCAACTATTTCCAAGTAAAATTTTTATCAATTATTTTTTCGTACAATATCCCCTATCTCTGTTGATAATAATATATACAAACAAGATACTCTTATTAGGGTAATACGTTCTAACAGAAAAAAAGGATAAATAAAAAACTTGGACAGTTTTCTTACATTTAATTGCGCCACGTATGGCAAAAGTGAGATGCCTATCTATCAATCAAAAGGTTAGTATAACTGCGCAGTAGTCTATCATGTAGTGTCGCACATTTGTGGAACGTGGGTTATAAGCGAGGTAGATACGCGTCCGCTGTTAGTATTGTATTTCAAATACTTCCAAAGCATCGGTGGTGTTAGTTAGCTCTTTTAGAATTATTATTTTATGCCGACTAGTTTTCAACTATGATACTGATCAGTAGTTTGAAATCTTTATTTTTGTTTTGGTAATTTATTTCGCCATGTGGTAACTTGGACCAGCACACATTTGTGCCAACTTTTAAATTTTAATGACATGGAAATTGACTTGATTAAAGACTATGGCACTAATAAATAAAAGTTTTGGGAACACAAAAAAGCTAAGTTGAGCCTGTGAACGTTCGAAACAACCGGTAAAACTAGTTTTATTCAACTCCTATACTGATTTTAGTCATGAGACAAAAACTGTACAGTAGTTGATATCATGCACGTAGTTACAGTGAAAAGACAGTTGATATGCTGAGTTTGAAAGTTTTATCCTAAAAAGAAAAGATGCAGGTATTTGCAAATATTTCCACCCGGAAATACAACGATATTACTTCAATCTCTCCTAAATACGTCAAGTGAGAGGAAAAACTCATTGAAAGACAAAAATTAGTTAGTACATCTACCACGATTGGTACATTACCAGTTATCTGTTATTTCAAACAAGGAGTTGTCTGTTCTGACTTGACAATCAGTCTTTAAAGTACAAATTATAACCATGAATTACATTAAGGGTAGTTATTACTGGAAAAAAAAATCAAACAAGACAAACCAATGGTTTCATATTCTCGATTGCTGGAGATCAACTGTTTGAATGATTAACAAGCACAAACTATTCAGACACCTTTTAATTTTAACATTGATATTAATTTGATAAACCAACCAAACCATAAAAAGAGGGAAGCATAAATCTGGTAGAGGTATTTGATAAACTACTATATTAATTCAATTAATTATAATAAATAACATCCAATAATTGGATCTATTATACATATCCTTTGGGCTAAAATTATAATGCTAAGGAGAGCTGAGGTTATCTAGTTTCTTTCTGTTAATACATGTTAGCCTTTACCTTAAAATATAATCTTGACAACACTTTTCTAATTCAGATTTTCGTAAGAACCTATGTTTTTATCTAATTGGTTCTTATCGCTTTTATTATATACTCTACGATCATTGAATGTCATCGGATAGACAGAGTTGTTCCTCTTCAATTTTTGACTTCTGTTCAGAATGTAAAGCTATGTTGAAAATCCAGTTTCCTCTATCTCATATTAGCATGTGTACTATTAACGCCGAAGGGTTGCTGTGTCCAAGTTGAGATACTAGCGAGTCCACCATAGGACCTATTCGTATTAGAATGATCTTAATTGTTCCTTAATTAGCAATCACCATACACCAGTACTGGACTTCTATCTCAAGATATAACAATCACATTGATTTTATGATTTCAACTGGGCGTTATACAATAGATGATTAGTATAATATTAAATAGAGTTATTATTGATTCATTGAAAAACAGAATCTAACAACTAAACTATCGTCTTCCTTTATCGATTTTGGAAAAAAAATGAGGTTTAAACTTTTATAATACACATATAATACGTTAGTTTAATCAACTTACCTAATTCATCTATAAAAATAATAGTTGGCTGAATTTTCTCAGCAAGACTAAATGTAGCTTCTACATACTTTTGTGTTTCACCATACCACATATTCACAAGAGTGCTTATCTAATGACAAAAAAAACAATTAATGAAAAATAGATTATTCTATCTTAAAAAAAGGTTGATAATGTACAATAGTGAATAAGATGAAATAAACAACTCAACATACATATAGATAAAACTATCTCTATTCGTATTAGTGTGATTTTCAAATTGATATTCGTAACATAACACTAAATATTCAATGGCAAACATAGTAATAGATTAAGAGAAAAGAAAACAGAATTCTACCAGTGTTTTATTCTATTCCATCTATTTATTTCCCCTTACAGTACAGTTTCATTTTAATTATATAGGCTTAATTGAACACATTACACCGAGAAATGGGAATAGAAATCAGAAAAATGAACAAGAATTGGATGGAACTAGAAAAGAAAACCAGGACAGAGTGGGTTGGAGAATGCTGGTCAGCGGCCTATGCTCCATTGGGAGTAACAGGCGTAAGTAAGTAAGTAAGTAATTGAATGTCTAATAGAAAGGTGACAGTTAAATTTTTTTCTTTCTATTGTATTCTATCAAAGATTTCAAGATCTCCATTTCTATTTATCCAGTTTAACATGACAAGTGGTGAAAAATTTTTTTCTAAAGAAAAAAAAGAAAAACTCTTTTAGTTATTATCAATCAATGACAATTTCTCAATTTTTCAAAGTAAACAATTACTATTGTGAGCCTGAAGTGAGAATCAACTGTTTCTGAATACCAACTTGATCTAATTGTACATTCATTTATATAATGTTGTCTGTAAGATAATAAATCTCATTGGAGATTTCATTTTATGTTCTAACTCTGATAACCTGCCTTGCCCATATTCCTGGAGCACTTCTTGTGTTAATAACGGTCCCAAGCCCATATAAAGAAAGAGGGTTGGGCATGAGGTCAACAACCCTGTCCCGTATAAAACAATCTTGCTAAAAAACGCTAACTAGAAAAGTCATTTAAACAACACCCAGGGAGTTGAAGGAAGAATTATGACGCCCCATAGTGAAAGCAGAGATTCTTCGGAAGTCACAAGGCCAGTGTTCATTCTAACAACTAGAGCAACAACTAACATAGGCACACGAAATTTCCGGACAATAATGAAGACTGTGATGACTGTTTAAGTAGCTTCACAAATGAAAAGATATAACCTAGTGGAGCTCAGAACAAATAAATGCATTGGACAAAAGCTGGACAGAAAAGAGTACTTTCGGGTGAGGAAAATGATCGTGAACACACGTTTCAGCTTATCTTATTTCATTATGAATATTGATTTGGTATGAAAACATACTGGATAGGAAAGAGTACCTAACAGTTAATAACAATAATAATAATAATGTTTTACTCAATACTAAAAATCTTAATGAAGTAAAGAATTCGCATCATCAATTGTGCAATATTACAACAAACGTCTTGTTACCATGCATTCAAATTGTATTTATTCAAAACATATTTTATATATGATTTAAGTAGTTTGTGTTTGCCACAAACATTCAATCATTACGGTTTGCTGCCACTTTAAATGCTATAACTCTTTTCCCAGCTATCGTATAAAAGGTGATTGAATTTCATACGATTTGTCTAACGTTTTTTCAAAGAGCAGATAGAGAGGAAATATCTCAAGAAATGTAATGATTCTGTTTGATTTAATTTATAATCCTTTTACGAAAGCTCGTAAGTATAAACAATTACCATTCAAAATTATTCACTTCAAACAAATCTAAAACCGGTAGGTTAATTCTAGCATTTTCACTGTTGAATAATAGGTGGTCAAAACGTTCTCGCGAACCATCGGTATTTCATATTGTCATTAAATCAAATTGGTATTACACTATTATTGTATGAGAATACTGTTTCGAAAAAATATAAAGATACATTTAAACGCTAAGTGAAATGATATCAATCAGAATTATGACAGATTGTAATGCGAAACAAACACCGAACCAATATTGGAATTGGAGGACGTTTTAAAAAAATGACGAAAGCAAAAACAAAAAAAAACAAGCGATGAAAACAACAAAGTAATAAAACAAAGATGGAATATGCATACTACACAGTCAGTCATAAGGAACCTAGAAGCTCATACGTAAATGAATCGGTCAAAGTTTACAACCAAAACAAACATGTGTTCATATATTCATCATGATTATCTTGTAGGTATAAAACGCGAAGCCTACACCTCTACGCTCCATACACAATATTCAACAATTCCAAAGCTAATACATTGACTAACTATATCTACAATTAGTGTTTCGTACAATAGCACTATCACCGTTGCTACCATACTATATGAACAGAATATTATTATAAGAGTTATAAAATCCGGAAAAATTCGAACTTCCACGTGATTTGAAGTTCCATATTAATCCAATGGACAATGAATATTATCGATCAAATAAAGGTCTATACAACAATTCAATATGATTTACACATCCACAACTTATGTTTTCCTTATCCCCGTAAGTACTAATAAAACATTCCTACTCAAATACGCTACAAAAAATTATGACACGACACGTTACAGTTTAGTAAGCTAAGTATCAAGTTGTTTTAATCAGCTAGTTTCCAGTTTGTCCATTTCTGTTTTTCTTAGAAAAACAAACACACGAAACTATTTAACATATTGAATGACTGAAAATATATTTGGCATTGTCTCAACAACAAAGTTTAGTAATTAGCTCCACTAAACTGTACGATGATCTTGTCCACACTTAAAAATTATCGATGATAATTGAAGTGATTACATTTGGTGAAGTATTCTGTTGCAAAATATCAAGTGTTTTGAGCAGATAAATTAAAAACTTCATTCATTGAAAACGTAAGAATATAGTTAAAGAACACTCCCAGCATCGAGATCAAAAGGTCGGATTCCGTAAGAATCAGTCGTGAACAGACCAAATCTTGATACTGTGATCGTCGTTGAATAATCAAATAAATGGAACTAACCATTACAACCATTACTTAAAACAAATGTCAGCCAACAGCAAATTAAGAACCATCAACGCAGAAGTCAATACAGTTCTACTGTACGGAGCTGAAACTTCGAGAACTATTACAACCATCATCAAAAAAATTACAGACATTTATTAACAGTTGACTATGCAAGATACTCAATATCCATTGACCAGACACCATCGGCTCTAACCTACACTAGTAGGGAACAAACCAAATTCCAGTCGAAGATGATATACGAGAAAGAAGCTTGAGGTGGACAGGGCACACACTGTGATCAAACTGCATCACAAGGCAAGCTTCAACTAGGAATCCAGAAAGCGAAAGCAAAAGAGGAAGATCAAAACACATTGACTTGGGAATGGGAGGCAGAAATCAGAGTAGTGAATAGCACTGGAAAATAACTGGAAAGGAGAGTCCAGGTAAGAGTTGGTTGGAGAGTTGTAATGAGGAGCCTAAGCTCCACGATTTAACCAGTGATCAAGTCAAAATGTGGGTTCTTTATATGGACGACACATTCGTCATCACAAAAAGGGACGAGTCAGAAAACACCTAAAATTTGATCAACTACGTCTTCGATGACATAAAATTCATAATGGAAAGTGAATCGAACAACAAATAATCATTCTTGATGTGCTGATCACCGGAATCGACACAGGAAAACTAGAGACTCAAGTATACAGGAAGTCAGCTACATACACCAAATCCTCAACTACGACAACAGCAACCCAAGAACTCACAAAATCAGCTGAATACAATGCATCGCGGAAGGATGAAGAAAAACTCTTAATGACCATCCGTATTGGGCGCTACACACACGATTATATTCCAACTATTCCCATTATTTACTCAGTTTAGCTGTGATTATTTAAAGTTATTATCTACATATTAATACACGATTCTTAATTGCTTTTAATCCCAATTATATCAACCGAAGGAGGAAAAACGTATCATTAGGGTTGATTAAAAGATCGAAATCTCCATGAAAATCATTCCAAGGACGTTTATAAAGTGGTCAGAAAAAAAGAATAGTATAGAATTATCAAATCAAAACATATTATTATTTAATGCTTAGAAATCTATCAATCAGGAAAAAGTGAATCTAACTGACTATTAAAATAACTTCATGAAAATCTACACCAATGTATTCATCAAGTTACATTAGTGTTACGAACAAAAGTTTCATTTTAATGTCTGTGAAGAGATATTTCGAATTTTTTGGAACACTACTACTCTAAGCAGAACGAAATATTTATTACAAGAACTTTGCATAAAACAAGAATTATATAAATAAAATTTAACATTGAACAAATATTGACATTTGAATTGTTGAAGACAAGAATTAAAAAAAGTGATCGATAATTTTTAAGGTAGAAAACATATGAAATGCATAGGTAATTATCTATATAAAGTCTTTCTTTCTTTGCATAATTTAGAAACAAATAGTGAGTACAATTTTAAACAGAATGAAAATTTGTGTACACTGTAGTAATTTTAGCAGCTGAATTCATGAGTCCATTAAGGCCAAACCACCATTGAAAACCTGGAAGTACCGGATGGCCGTTTCGTTCTATTGCGGGACTCCTCATCAGTGTTCATCCACGATCCCGCATGCGGGACTCGAACCCAGAACCTTCGGTTTCGCACACGATTGCTTAACCTCTAGACCACTGAGCCGACATTCAACGGTGTTAATGTCTAACTCTAATCAATCCTTTATCTTGCGCAACCATTCATCGGCGGTCTGAGGTAGATACCTGTCTCCGCCCGACAAGGACTGGACTCCATTGGCGCGAGACCGAAGGTCCTGGGTTCAAGCCCCACATACAGGATCGTGGATGTGCACTGCTGAGGAGTCCCATACTAGAATGAAACGACCGTCCAGTACTTCCAAGTTTGTAATGGTGATCTAGCTTAGATCGACTCATGACTTCAACATACAGATTTTTAGATTTATACCTCTACTTTATGAAGGTGATGAGTGAAAGCAAATGAAGAATGTAATTTGAAAAATTAGATGAGTCTTAATTTCAATTTCAGTGCCAAGTCAAAGTACTACTATGTAATTTTTAGGTTAAATATATATACATAGATATTTCAGAAAATTTTGGACAGAAGAATTGTTATATTACCCTTCAATATGATATTATGAGAGTTGATGATTTAAACTTTAATAGAATGACTTCATACATCAAATTATTTCTTTCCTTTATATTTATTTTGAAATGAAATGTGACGTTTAAAAGTAGAGTAAATGCATAGGTTAGTAGTATATGATATCTTCAAACAACTGAATAAGTATTATTGAGATGGAGTACGTCAACGAAGCTATTCCGAGTAGTGTTTACAATCTAAAACTACCCAGATGAGTTTATCAAGTTAATTATGATCAGTAGTTGGAGAGCTCGAGTAATATGGCTCAAATGTAATCACCACTTATCACTTAAATTTTGAATTTGAATATCATATACCGTATCTTCTATGTTTAGTCTTAATTACTACAACTATTTTTCAATATAATTTTAATTCTTTGTTAATTATGTCGCTAATTTGTTCTAGCTCTACTGATATGATATGCCGAATTGAAATGCTAAACAAATGTCCTATGCTTATTGTACCCGACAGCTCAACGAAAAACACATTTTAAAATACATGTACTGATGCTCCAAATGAGCACTACATTTACAGTCTAAAATGACAGTTTAGTTTAGTGCTAATATTTCGATCTGTGAGTAATAAAACATATTGGAAATCCTGATTTGAAATTAGGATTAGAGACGAAGCCATAATGAAGAACATCTATTTCTTGAGTCCACAGTCCTTTGTTTAATAACCAACCTTAAAGTATTTTACAAGAAGACTATAGTGCGTACCCATATGTATAGTATCGTATGAATGAAATACTTATTAATAAGTTCTAAAAAAAACACTTTATCTTTAATCTGGATTGAATTTTCACACTAAAATCCCAATGAAATTTAATATTTATTTAATCATATAATGAAAATACTATCAATTCATTTGTTTTTTTATCCTACCATTTCAATGATAATTTTAACGTAATCGGAAAATTAATACATTGGTAACTTAATATTAGATAATGTTGTGACAAATTATTCCTGACCCATTTAATTGAAATAAATAATCTTTGTTTTCGTAAGAGAAAAAACAGGATTCTATCACTTAAATGATCGAAATATAAGACTTAAGTTTGATGATTAAGGAAAATGAAATGAATTTGATGAGCTATTAATTATAAAAGGTTGGTAGTGTTAAACAAGTGTTAATTCTTCACATGTTCGAATATTTGCTAGTTTTAAAACTCAAGTTTTAGTGTGATGTTAGTGCTTACTTTTCATCAGATTGTTTTCGTAGAAGTATTTTGTTGAAATGAACAAGAAAATCAGTCAGATAAAAGAAACACTTGAAATCTTATAGTAAAATAACTATGAAGGTCTCATAGAACGGTATTTTTCCTTCCACAGTAAGATTTACTGTAACCAACAAATCAAATCTAAACGGGGATTGAATGTTCATTGAACTTGGAGTCTTAGCGTTTTTCATCGGTCGGGCATAAAATCAAAGATTCATAAGGTTTTGACCATAGCACAATGTGACATTATTAGCCAGGGAAATGAAGGGAGTAATACGTAAAAAATCTAACGTAATGTAATGTAGAACGTAGAGATTTCCTACATTAACGATGAGGTATCTAGACCTCGAGATCGAAATGACAAGGAATCGAATTTCTAGAGCCGATGAATAATAATGATTAATTAATCATTCACTATAAGTGAGACCTATTCTAACCAACTATTCATAGGGAGAAGAGGTAAAATTAAATTAGCTTGACGTTATTCAATATTTTTGCGAATACTATACTTCGAAACGACTGAAACGGCAATAAGAGTAGTTGTGAGAAATCGACAAAAGACTAATTAAATGAATGTATATGCTAGAAAAGCCCAAAACTTCATATAGCTAAGACAGATTTTAACAAATAAACTTCGATATTCCCATATCATTTCTTCAACAAGCAAATAATTTTTATTCATGTTACAGTTAGAAATTAACTATTTAAGTTAGTTACTTGACGATAAAAGAGTTGGTAATATATATTTTAGTTAACGATTAAGTTTTCTATCGACAGATCACAGTTCAGTATCAAAAAATGATAGAAACTGTGTGATAACAAACAACTGATTCTTTTTCATCACTAATACCTAGTACTCTTAGAATATTGTTTATTAAACAGAAACTGTTAATTTTTAACACATTTTTTTAAACTTAACAAAAGAAACAAGTAAACTGAACAATACAGTTGTATAATGGATATTGGATGTATTGTTATTGCAATATGACAGGTTACAAAACAAGAAATATGTAAAGCAACATGTAATATGATCTATTTTTATGTTTAACAGAATATATTCGACGAAAAAGTCTTACGGGAAAGTGTAATTCAGGTGTAATATTATTATTACATAAAATCAGAATTAATGTATTACGTAAATAGATTCAATATGGGACAGATAAACAGGAAAAAAATGAGTACCATTGTATTCTATTTGTTGTAAAAAGTATTGATAAAAAGTTTCATTTGTTACAATTTGGAAATATGTAAGTTATTATTAAAATAAATCATTAGAGTTATGTGTAACCTTATTCAAAAAGTCTATTGTTCTAAATGTACAAGTATTACTAAGTGACAAGTTGTAGTGAAATTATAGAGGCATAAACAGACTGATGCAGAGATTGTTGTATTCTAATACAATTTCTATTTCTCAAGAATTAGATTCTCAAAGCAAACAATTTCGAAACAAAACATCATATGTATTAAGCTGTGAACAATCTACATGACTGTTTACAATGAGTGGTAGGTAACTTAGATATTGTGGTTAAATTCTTACCAAACTATATTTACCCAATTCAGTGGGGGGTGCTATTTCATTTATAATAACAAATCTCAATATGATAATAATTGCTGTTACATTACAGTGGGTTTTCTATATAATCACACAATAAGATAATTCAAAAAAGGAAATACTTACTTGAAGATTCAAAAAACTAGCATGTGCAGCATGTGCCATAGCACGAGCAAGTAGTGTTTTACCACAACCAGGCGGTCCATAAAGTAATACACCTTTAGGCGGCTGTAATAATCTTGAATTTATTGATAATAATCGTTTTGCTCGTAACGGTTCAAGTACACCATATTTAATTTCGTGGATAATAGAGTCCAAACCTCCAATAGAATTCCACGTTGTGTTTAAAACTTGTGGATCAACTAAATTTACAGCGACGCATACTTCATAGTCATTTAATTTCGGTACATTTTTCAACCCAATAGCTTTGAAAATTTCTTGCGCCTATAAATAATAACAATAGCATTAACAATAATTCCAACTACGAAACCTAAAAAAAAGACTGACTTTCTTATTCGAATCCATCTAATGTGAAGTGGATAACTGAATAGGAAGTTCAGTAAGCTTTCCTTCACAACGTTTGCATCGTTACTCAATAAACGCCATCAAAAATACATTTGCTTTGTATAGCTATCAATAAAATGAAGTTACAGAAAACCTTACACATTTATACGTAGTTTAAACAAATATGAAAGTGTAATCAATGCCCGTTTTTGTACCTATTTTTAGAGGAAAAAATGGAACCACAGAATATTGAACGATTTTCTTTAGGCAGTATGCATAATACACAAATTGAAAAAAACGTAATAAGCTTTCAATTTCGGACAGTAAAAATCTTTATTGTATTGAATAAAATTAGTAATTATTATTGATGAAATTAAAAAAAGACAATCAAAACAGGTTATTATTATTGATGCCCTGGTACGACTGAGAGTGAGGAGAGTCAGCTCTCCCTCTCGAAATGCTCTCACATGGCCACGTGCATACAACCACTTCCAGGGAAGTCTTACTTACTGCCTTATCGCGGAGGGTGTGTTGTTTACGAAAATGAGAGAACGAAAAGCGAATATCCGGCGCTTTAACCGGGTTGGTGGATATAAAGGATTCACCTAGGGGAGCTGGAAAACTCTGATTCCAAACAATGGTTCACATGGACATCAGGATCCCAAGGGAACAAATGGCGTATGAACCAATTATTGGTCACTGACTACCATGGGACTGCATCTCCTGACGTTGCTCCACTGTCTTGTGGACCAGACCTTTGGGTCGAAAGCTCCGGGTGTGAACCCCTAAGAAAACCACCTACTTCAGTTTCGGCACTCAGAAAGTATCCCAGCCCTCACATAAATCGAATGATTTGTGTGGCACATATATATTTGTTGCCTTTTTGTACTAATGTTTATGTGTTTAAATAAACAAATAAGATAAATATTACTAATGAAACTTTTAAAAATTAGAAGAAATTTATCTACATTTTAAAATAAAAATATCTCAACTAGGTTTAACTTTGCACATAAATTGTATGAATCGTAGACTGATTCTAATGGTAAATATGTCGTATCAGATGATAGCTTGATTTGTAATACAATGATTGTACTTTAATGTTATTAGACAACATTTAATGCTTATGTAACGAACTTTACAAGTCAATTCTTTTAGTGGATCTTTGATATATATATATATATATATATATATATATATATATATATATATATATATATATGTTTTAAAAAATTTCGTAATACCAGTAGGAACTAGATTGATTCAGCAAGTCAGTTACAAGTAATACAGAACACACGAGAAAAATCCATCGGTACATATCAACACGACACCAGACATTAAAATGAGGAAAAGAAATTATCAAAATACAAGTGAAAATGAAAACAAAGATCATGCGATTCAGTTTCAAATATTTACCAAACCGAGACTGAATCGAAATGAAAAACCTGAAATTTATCACATTTTTATTATGAAGAGTAGAAGTTTTATGATTGTCTCAAATATAACCCACCCCCACATACACACATTATGCAAATGCCAAATACTTTTCACATAGTATGAATATCGTATTCAAGCAACAATTATTATTATCATTACTTATTGGTCGGACACATAATTATTGGTAGAAGGTGGCACCAAATACATATGCGTCATACTAACAATAAGCTTGTGAAGAGATAGAGAACATAAACTGAGTATGATCAAAAGAAGAACAAAAGTGACACAGGAATTAGTGTATGAGAGTGAAATAATAATAATAGTGGGAGAAATAGTTCAGTTAGGAAATATACAACCAGAGAATTTTTTCACTAAAGGAGTCAACTTTTATTGAAACAGTAAAAAGAAGTTATAGCAGGATTGAGACTGGCTTCTATTTTGAGCCACGTCTGATAATGTCTCAAGCCACTGTGTTGCATCATTTCTACGACCCCGGCCAGGGAGCCGTGAAGGACAAACAGAAGTCAGCACATTCTGACCACCAGGCTTTTCGGTCCTTACGCAAACTTTACCCAATTTTACTACGTAGCAATCATTCTTCGTGGTCAAACTCGCTGTCATCTGGAGTAGACCAAAGTGCTACAATGAGCTGTAAGGAGCATGAAGAAACACAATGCTTATGATCTGAACGTTTCGCGAAGCCGCAAGAGACTTTACTCGCCATTTTCATGCCATCATTCAATTGCAACAAATGCTCATCTATACTTTTCGGTGGGATGGTAGCTCGGTTTAATATCTAGCTGCGACAGATTTACTGATAACAATCCATTTAGGATTATGAATCTGTTGGCCACTGGAACGTAAGGTAAGATTAGAGCAAACAAGGGGATGAACAGAGTTCATATAGGTATTCTAAAAGGAGAAGCAGTCTTGTACGCAATCACGCCAGCGTTAGCTGATTGCGATGTGGTTCAGGTTTGAGATGCAGAGGAAGGACGGCAGGTAGCAAGAAACACTGTGATTTGTGTCAAGTTGTAGTTGATCTGCGATCAACAAGTTCTCATCGGCCACCTAAACAACACCTTCTGTGCCTAGACGCCTGACCTATGTATTAAAGTCTCCGGCTAGTGCTACAATATATGTCAAGCACGCTTTCTGCACAAGAACAGCTCATCCTTGATCGCATCCGGGCTGCAATCCGTCAGAGTGTGGGCGGAGATGACAAAAAGACATGGTTTCTAGCACTGATTTCCTCGAACATTGATGGGGTTCTCGAATCTGACAGTACATAACCAACTGTAAATGGGGATCCGATCGGTTAGTGTCGTCTCAGCTCTAGCGCTTAATGCGACATCGACACCAGTAAAATTAGATGAAGATTCTACAGGGTCCCCGGATAAAAGCATGTGAAACAAGCTTTTCGGAGCGACAGGTGGGAAGTGATTTGTAATACTTCAATAGGGTCTTGAATACGGGTCTCGAATAGATAACAGACGTCGATATCAAGACATAGCAATGAAACCTAGTTAGATGAGATAGATCATATTATTTGACGAGTGTAAACTGATACCAATGCACATATTTAATTTGAAATCCACCCTAAACTTTAGAAAATAAAAACGCACACAAACACACATTTCAAACTACCACTACCACTTAATAAATTCATTTTGCAAGAAATTCGGATAATAGTTGTTCAGTAATAATAATAATTAATAATTAATTAATAATAATAGTAATAATAATAATAATGATAATAATAATAATAATAATGTTTGATCTATTTTGTTCATCAAATTGATGCTCTTGTAAAAAAAAACATACCATAGTTTATGTTTCTGCACTAATATACAAAGAAACAATGTATAGAACGGATTTACATAATAATTATGAATATAATCATAAAAATGAACATGTGTTCCCAGTGTTGATGATAGTATCTTATCAACTAGTAAATGAAATATGAAATAAATTGACATAATTTAAAAGGGGAGAAAAAAAAACTGAAAAGAATTTCAGCTTACACGTTTTCGACATTGACGTTTTTCTTTCATAGTTGGATTAACTTGTTCAATTAAATAAAACAATAATCGTATACTAATACCAAGTCCAACTAGAGATATGATGACTTGAATAATTTTCTAAATAAAATGAAATTGATACAGATTTAATGATGATAATGAAAAGAGAAAAAAAACATGATGAAAATGAAGTAGAATAGAGAAATAACAATTCGATTATGATATAATAAATGTTGTATGTAAATAAATGAATAAATAATTTATATTTAGAATTAGAAAACAACTATGGAAAGGTTTATCAATAAGCATTTATTATTTCGTTTATATCTCTATATAACAATAGATAGAATTTAACTTATTGTTCAATATAGGTAAAAAGGGGAATATATATAATACGATTACATTTTAATCTTTATGTGAAAAACTATGCGAAATTATTAATCAACATAAATACTATGATAGTTGTTTTGTGAAGATTGTTGATTGGAGTTATGCAAATGAACCCGTTAAAGCCAGTGTGAATGACTATGAGGCACATCCTCCAAAGTGTTCATGTAACCAGTCATCACGACTATCCCACTCACCCAACCAGGTAGTTCTAATATCATAACATGATTTACACAAACAATTCTTAACTTTATGAACTTATGCCACATTTGAGGTTATACTTACGCCTGTTACTCCTCGTGAAGGAGCATAGGCCACTCACCAGCATTCTCCATCCAACCCTGTCCTGGGCAATCCTTTCTAGCTCCGTCCAGTTGTAATTCATCGTTTTCATATCTGCTTCTATAATCCGACGCAATGTGTTCTTTGGCCTTCTTCTTTTTCGCTTCCCTTCAGGGTTCCAAGTTAGGGCTTGCCTCGTAGCTCTCATAGGGTTACTGCCGGTCCCAAGCCCGGGTAAGGGAGGAGGGTTGGGCATAGGGTTAGCGTCCCCATCCCGTAGAAAACTAACTCGCTAAAAAAACGCTTACCAGAAAAAATAATCCAAATAATCCAAACCATTTGAGGTTATAGTCCCCCAGAATTCCTCCAACCTACTGGTAAACATTGTCTATTGAGGTAGGTGGTTGCACATACGTGGTATACGTGTTGTTCAGTCCAGTTGCTAGAGATTCAATACCTTATCAACCGATTTGTCATCTTCATCTGTCTCTACATGCCTAACCTCAACATTGCGCACCTGATAGCATCAACGTATATTAACAATGCTTTGAAGATACCTAAGATCATATACTAGTAACCAACGAATATCATTTATTCTTAATGAGTATGTTTAACACCTGTAAGGGTAAAGTGCCCCTTTGGTTGCCAAACGGAAATCTTGCCTCTGCTGCAAGTAACGTAATTTAGTATGTTCAACCGAGCTCTCTGAATCTGTGCCGAGATTTTGTCATATACACCAATATATAAGAGCTGGTGAGCCTTCTTCTAAAGTAAGGGGAGCGGTAGATGAACTCTCTATCATTGATTCAGGAGTTGATGCATATCAATCTTAAAGCAACACTTTGCATTTAGAGAGAGGATACAGTCAAAACATGATAATGTTCGAATAGATTAGATCTCGGATTTCGTTAGCATCTTGATCACGAAAGACAATGCCAATACTAATGAGAATTAAAACAATTGGGCAATAAAACATTCTTTAAATAAAATAACTTCGAAATGTTTAACGAAAAATAATCGTGAATAAAAAAACCCAATTTTACTAAACTTTTCTAGAATACATGCCTTTGTAAGCTGTTCATCATCCAATTAAGACTAAAATGAAACAACAGTTTTTATCGATCAACAAAGAAACAAAGTAATGAAGAATTCTTTGTTCAAAACAGATCATTTTTTAATGGATGTTTCACCATGTTTATATACTTTTTTTTAGACAAATTTCATAATGAATAAAAAATAACAGTTAGGAACATAAGCATGACAGAAATAAAAAACAAAAAATAGCTGAATGGAATAGCGGATGTGCAATATATTGACAGAAAAAATTGACTGAAGTTGGAAATGCGAACCATTATATGTTGATCCAGTGATATAAAGGATATGCTTTCGCAGCAAGGTCTGGTTACGCAATGCTAAGGAATTTCAAGCTTAGATGAAAGAAATGGACAGGTGTCGAGCATTTACAGTGATTCTGCAGCTGTTCTTAATTAATAAACAAAACTTTGTTTAAATTAAACGGATGTTTGTAATTTATTCAAATAAATTGTTTTAGTTCGACACTTCACAATGATGTAGTGAGTAGGAAGGACGGTTTTACGTTGAAAAAAGTTCTTACTAAATCCAAAATATTAGCCAGTGTATGACTATTGTAAAACATTTTTTCGAAGTATAGACACATAGTTTTCTATTATGAATGAAAAATAATAAAGATTGATATCATGTCATTCTGGTATGTAGCCAAAATAAATACTATACCGTATTCACAACTTCGTATTACATGAACCAGACATAAAGGTTACATATACGATTTTTATTCTGTGAGAAATTTCATTAAAAATGGACCACTCCATTTAACCACTGTATGTAGCTTATAATGAATAAAAATATTGTTACATTGGCTGAGAATCGATAGATGATAAAACAATGAAAATATGAGTAAGGTATTTGAGGTTTGACTTCAAGGACCTACTAAGGAGGTGCATATAGTGGAGTAAGCTCAGTTTGGCTATTTCTGGCATCCTTGCACTTTATTCTCTTATCCTAGCCGATTGTTATCGCATAAAGGTGATGTTAAAATTATACACAACTACAATATTTATCGACTTGACACCAAAAATACTTAGTGTATTAAGGGAACATGTACACCGTAGGAGGTGGATCATTATTTTATAACATAAAAAAAAAGTTCCTACTGTGGTATTATTAAGATAGAATTCAAATAAACGATTTCATTTTGAGACTAAACTGAGCTATATAGTTATATTGCAAAAACGTCCAGTCAAGACGAAAAAATATGGCAAGAAACGCCTTTCGGAACACTTAAAATATAGTTATGTATGGATTAGGACTATACTACCAAAATTATAAGATTCTTTTGGCTTAAAGAATAGCGTATTCAAGTTTATTTGGCCCTAGGAAGTGAGATACATGATGAAAGGAAAACAAGTATTAAAATATTGAATAATAAGGTTATATCATACACATAGTTTGACATTTCGACAAAAGCAAGAACAAAGATTCTAGCAGAATAGCACGAATTCATTTTATTTCGTTGGTTCTCATCAGCTGCTTACAACCTGTGATATTTAAAATCATAGTTACATAATGCGTTTAAAATTACTTAGATGAAAGATTTTGGTTGGAAGTTATGTTGAAGACACATTAGTGTAGTATAGCAAGGGTGTAAATAAATTTAATAAACTGAATATTGTAAACGGCGCAATTACCAAACATCTCCTTGATACGTGACATCAGCTCGATACCTTGCAATCTTCCAAGGTGATTAGTAAGCAACCAAATTCCAGTCTTCTGAAGTCTGCTGAAGCCATTGCTATCAGGCGTCAAAAACCTGACTTATGTGTTCAAAAGGAGATGGTAATTAATCTTTCCTTGCCCTGGTGACAAATATTACTTCGCTGCATCTTAAATTTTTTAGACTCTTTCTTGCATTTCTTACATCATTGAGTTTTATTTCATTTATCTTCCAAATTAGTAATCATATTTAATCAACTGAGATCTACTCATTTTATTCCTATCAGCGTTTAGTTATTATGTAATCACATGTTTTTGGTCGTTTGAATTGTTGTCACAATCAATGTTGTAGAATGTTCTTTCATATAAGGTAAATATCTACAATATTCGGTCTATTAAATTTATTTACACCCTTGCTATACTACACTAATGTGTCTTCAACATAACTTCTAACAGAACCCTTTCATTTAAGTAATTTAAACCCATTATGTAGTTATGATTATGTAACATGATTAAATATCACAGGTTGTAAGTAGCTAATGAGAACCAACGAAATAAAGTGAATTCGTGCTATTCTGCTAGAATCTTTGTTCTCGCTCTTTTCAGTAAGGTTATAATTCAAGCCAGCTCGTATTATGAATCGCTGAGTGATTGCATATGATTTTTCCATGATAAAAGAAAGAGATAGCACACAATATTTCAGAGGTAAACATCTAAACACATGTTAAGTGATGGAAGGTAGTCACTAAGGAAGCTTTGGCCTAAGTTTCATGTTAGTTGGTATTTGTCAGCAAAGTATTGCAATAATCTTGAGGAGACTAATGTTTTCTGTGGGATTTGAACTTGCATCCCGCACCTATCATTTAAACATAGTTCACGCGGTTCTGAATCCCTTAGACTGATAAGTATATTGCAACTTAATAAATATGATTCCATCAGGACTAGAAAAACATGATAATGATCATCACACAGTGATTAATTAATTCAATCACATTAAAATAAGATGTAGACCATAAACAAATTTTGCTATCAATAGCATAGCACGTAATAGACCAAATGATTTACTTCATTTATTTACAGTGGAATTTCAGACTGAATCACGCTAAAAAATGATGAGCTTACTGAAGTTACTAATGACCAGTTAATTAATTAAGTGGACCGAAGACATTTATTGGTCAAATTGGTGGTTAGTATTTACGACTATCATAATGCATCCGTATACAATGAATACAAAATGATTAATAATTAGTTTGAGGGCACTAAAAAGGATTTAATTTTTTACTAACAGGTGTATTGATTGTATCCGAAAGTGAAACAGGTAACTGAATACACAGTCTACTCTGTAATTATATAGAAATTATCAAGAAAACGGAAATAGACAAATTAATACAAATAATAATGGTACTTAGTTTATTTTGTATTTCTAAAATTTATATTTTATCATAATAGACACTAGAAAATAAAACAACCCTTATAGAAAATATATGACATAATATATATAATTAAGTCCGAAATTGACATGATTTTCAAAAAAATCCTGATATATGATGTGATTTCTGATAGAATCAGTGCAGAAAATATTAAAATATGAATAAGTTAGAAATATTAACTACAGAAAAATGAATCGTTGATGAATATTTTTAGATAATAGCGCTGATTTATGTGAGCTAACAATTGTTATTATAACAGAAATTTTTATCTGAATTGTAAAACGTCCATAGATGATTCGTAGTGAATATCAAGGTGGAACTATAATTTATGAACGAGCCAATCAGATTTAAGATAGTAGGTTTTGGATTTCAACGTGATGTTCATTCATCCATATGGTTAAATATCATTATGTCTAACTCTAATTCCTAACCCTACTGCCTAGCTGTAAATCTTAATCCTAATACTTCACAATACTTTACAAATCTCATTTAATTCTAGTAAGTAGATGGACATCTTCAATATCATCTAAGTGCCATTCAAAGATCGTCCATAAATTGTAGTTTTACCAAATTCAGATATTACATTATGGTACTGTTACGTAGTCAAGTTAAAAAATAAGTAATATATGAAATATATGAACATCGAATAATCGATTCACACTAAACTAAAATAATTCAACAAGTTATTAAGTGGTTAATATTTTCTTTTTCAATTATATTACAAAGGCTCTAAGCAGTTTATCTATAATGCTAAAAAGAATTTAAAATTATAAAACTGAAACAACATACAAAGAATTAAAAGAGTAACGTAAACACTAATATTTATAGGTTATCAATTAACTTACAACAGCATCAACATTGAACTTAAATTTTGGCTGTAAATCAGCTGATAATTTATTTGTATATCTAACTGATGATGTAGTTGAAGGGAAACAATTATACCACCAAAGACGAATTTGTGACCATATTGACGTAGGATTTGTGAAAATAACACTCCAAAATTCTTTTAATGATGTTAGTACATGTAGTGAATCAGAATTATGCTTAGATTCAATAGGTTTTAATGGTATTTCATTGTATATTTCAAAGAATGGAAAAAATGACTGAATGAAAAGTGATTTTATTGTATGTCCATGATTATGAACTGAAAAGAATCCCATTAGTATACCTAAAATTAAATATTAAATATAAAATACAAATAATAACAATAGAGACAATGAATAAAGATATGATAGTACAGGAAACATAATTAACTTTACAAACAATTATTTATGATGAAAACAAGATTCATGAGTAAGTTGACTATATCAAAAAACCACGAGTAACTACAATGCAGTGATCTAAAGAGAATTTATTTATTTATGATATTTTAATAATTCTAATACACTGACTATCTCAACGAAATTAATCTCGAATGAGCAAAACATTGATTGATCAGTATTTTTTGTCATTTCATAACATAATCTGAAAATTCACACAACATCGGATCTTATAAAAAGTTAAACAGGATAAAATCAAAAAAAGATTTCAATTTACTTCATTTATAGAAATATAATTTCTTTAGCATTATATGATAGAAATTAATGTTATGTTTATCACTATACTGTCTAGTATATTAACTTTACTGATGTAAACTATTTAGTTTCGGAACATAAATAGTAATCAAAACAAAGAAGTCGGACATAGCCATGGAGATGAAACAACGATAAGTTTAAGCTTTATTTATTTTATTATGAATATTAGTTAGATATGGACTTCGCAGATGACCTAGCCCTCCTATCTCATACATACGAACAGATGCAGATGAAGACAGCCAATGTAGCAGTAGTCTCTGCATCAGTAGGCCTCAGCATACACAAAGGGAAAACCAAGGTCCTCAAATTCAAAGCGAAGAACAGCAAACCAATCACTCTTGATGGCGAAACTCTGGAAGATGTAGAGCCCTTCACATACCTAGGAAGCATCGTCGATGGACAAGGAGGTTCAGATGCAGACGTAAAGGCGAGGATCGGCAAAGCAAGGGTCGCATTCCTACAATTGAAGAACATATGGCACTCAAAACAACTTTCAACCAATATCAAAGTGAGAATCTTCAATATGAATGTCAAGGCAGTTCTTCTGTACGCAGCTGAAACTTGGAGAACTACAACAACCACCATCAAGAAGGTACAAGTATTTATAAAGAGCTGTCTTCGCAAGATACTCAACAACCACTGGCCGGATACCATCAGCAACAGCCTTTTGTGGGAGAGAACAAATCAGCTTCCAGCTGAAGATGAAATAAGTAAAAGACGATGGAAATGGATAGGACATACATTACGCAAATCGTCAAATTGCATCGCGAGGCAAGCTCTAACTTGGAATCCTGAAGGGAAGCGGGAAAGAGGAAGGTCAAAGAACACATTACGTCGGATAATAGAAGCCGATATGAAAAGGATGAATTACAACTGGAAGGAGCTAGAAAGGATTGCCCAGGACAGGGCTGGATGGCTAATGCTGGTGAGCGGCCTATGCTCCTTCACGAGGAGTAACAGGCGTAAGTAAATAAGTAAGTAATTAGTTAGATATAAAGACATACTGAGTAGAAAAGTGTTGAATCATAATAATGATAGCAATAAGTTTATTCATTATCATAAATCTTATTTCTGTAAAGAATTCTCAGCACCAATATTATTGTGAACGAGAATACAGGTGGGGACAATCGATTGTATTTTAAAACAAAATTAGAGTTCTTTGGTGAAATATGAAAAGTATACGTTCAATACTTCATTTGTAAATCCTACATCAATTGTTCCAAACTTCATAGTTCCTTCATTGCCATAAGAATTGCTCTCTATTCACGTTCACTTCGACTAAATCTTCCCTACCTTCTGCTACCAGGCATTCCATTTCTGATTGGCATTAAATATTAATGTCGAAATAAATAGTATATAACACAATATTACAACAAATATCTCTTTACCATTTATTTGAATTGCAATAATTCAAAACATAATTTATAAATGTTTTTAACTGTTCAGGAATTAAAAACATAATTTTTTGAAATAGTTACTTATAAGATCTTTCTTGGTATTTCTTCAAAGAATAGAAAAAAAGAAAAATATATCATCAACTTTTGTATTTCGATTTGAGTTGGGTAGTATTTAACATAGTTGTAATTTGCATGGTTTTCATAAAAGTACATGGGTACATAGAACTAAAATTTCTTATTCTATTTAAACGAATCTAAAAATAAGAAGATTAGTTACAATGTTTGTACAGTTAGAAAATAACTAACCTAAAAATTAAAGAAGATTGTTTTCAAATCAACTGATGAAGTTTTAAACTATCATTAATATATCTTAGCAAAAGTTGCTACGATTAACAATTTGTAGAAATATTTCTAGACAAAATTAAAATTGTTTTCTTGGATGCAGTAAACTTTAATACCTAAACTTTAAAAAAACCTATCTATTTAATTAGATTACTTAAGAAAATAATACTTTTACTAAAAAAACATAAAGAACAAATGCAAAAGATTTGTTATCTACACTTAATGGAGAAAACAAAACAAGAGTTGAATTCATAATTCGATTTAAGCTAGACCATAATTGAAAATCTGGAAGCACTAAACGGGCCTTTCGGTTCTAGTATGGGACTCCACAACAATGTACATCCACGATCCTGAATGCAAGACTCGAACTCAAGGCCTTCGGTTTCGCACGCTCCTGGTGAAATGGCTCAGAATCGATCACAATGACGTAGGTGTATACACTCAATATGTTCCACTAAACTATGAGGTTAAAATTACTTTATATCCTTCCTCATACCAACTAATTCTTTCTTCCTATCCTATATCCTTATATGCAATATCTTTTTATATATTACCACCACTGAATTAACTACTTCTATGAATCCGTGCTCATCTTGTTGTGCTAATGCGGCATGGCAACTTGGACCAATGCATATATGTGCCTGGTCCTACATTATAGCTGACTGACGCTTAACTTTTAGACCACTGAGCACGTATCCAACTTCATGTCCGTCAAGGCTGTCCACTTTCCCCATTTTTGTTCAATTTCATCATAGACCTACTACTGGAAATAACGTTCTCGTCGACTGAATTTTCGGACATTGATCTCCATCCAGGAGGTCCAATTATCGACTTAGAATACGCAGATAACATAGTCCTGTTTGGTGAAGACGCTGATAAAATGCAGTCTTCTGGTAGCACTAAGCAACAATGCCAGAATGTTTGGAATGCGCTCTCTCCCTCTAAATGCAAGTTGTTGCTTCAGGACTGGTCTGCGTCAACACCTGAACTAAGGATAGGGAGTGAAGTAGTCGAACGCGTTGACAACTCCACTTATCTTGGAAGTCTGATCAGCCCTAATGGGTTGGTGTCTGACGAAATCTCAGCACGGGTTGAAAAAGCTCGCTTGGCTTTTGCCAAATTGCGTCACCTTTGGCGAAGGCGAGATATCCGTCTATCAATAAAAGGACGAGTATACTGTGCGGCAGTCCGTTCTGCTTTACTTTACGGCAGCGAAACATGGCCTTCAAGAGTAGAAGACACTCGTAAGCTATTAGTATTTGACCACAGATACCTTAGAAATATTGCTGGCGTCTGCTGGGATCACCGGGTAAGTAATAGTGAGGTTAGACGAAGGGTATTAGGAAATGATGGTAAATCAGTTGATGAGGTTATGAATCTTCATCGACTGAGATGGTTGGGCCACGTGTTACCTATGCCCGAACACTGATCACCACGACGTGTAATGCTATCAGGTATTGGAGATGGTTGGAAGAAAGTTAGGGGCGGCCAAACCAAAACGTGGCATCAGTGCTTGAAGACACTAACTTCTAGTCTGAGCCATGTTGGTAGATGCAGACTAGTTGGTTGGGGTCCGCGTGACTTTCGTAACCAATGGTTGGAGACTCTTGATGACATGGCTCAGAATCGATCACAATAGCGTTGGTGTATACACTCCCTGTCTTCCCTTAAACTAAGAGATTAAAATCACTTCATATCTTTCTTTCTACGAACCAATTCTTTCTTCTTGTACTATATCTCTATATGCAATCTTTCTCTTATATATTACCACCTTTGACCTAACCACTGCTATGAATCCGGTGTTCATCTTGTTGTGCTGATGCGGTATGGCAACCTGGACCGATGCACATATGTACCTGGTCCTACGTTGTAGCTGACTGACTGACTATCCAACTTCAATCGATCCATGATCCTGTGCAACACTTCATTTATTGTTTGAGGTGGTTAACTGCCTCACATCCGACACGCATTGGACTCCACTGGTCACGGCTTCTCACCAGAAATCCAAGGAATCCCTCTGGAATGTAGTCACTAGTGAATACATGATTATTATTATTATTATTATTATTATCAAACTAGGGGTTTGTGAAGATTGTAGTAAATTTAATAGTCAAATTCATGGGTCGATAAAAGCTAGACCGCCATGGAAAACCTGGAAGCACTGGACAACTGTTAGTATAGAATTTCTAAGCAGTGCACATGCACGATCTCGCAAGCGAATTTTCAATGATGGTTTATATTAAATCGATTGACGAATTCAACTGTTAAAATTACTACAATCCCCACGAATCCCCATTTTTGATAAAATAGTCAATTTATTAGATGTACTAAATAATGGACAATTAATCATATGATACATTAAAGAAAATCTATGTTGAAATTATCTACATCTTGGACATTTGTTAGAATTACCTAATAAATAGACAAAATGAAAATTACTAATGATTAATTAGTTAATTTTTGAGTAATAATAATAATAATGTTGATTCATTTGAATTATAACGAAAATGCTTTAAGTCATAGTTACAAATTAACTATTTCTATTTTTATATGGAACACTATAGAATGTTCTATTTTATTAATCCATTAACAAGTTAATTAATTTAGAGTACATCAATTTGTACTTTTGTATGATTTGTTAAATTTTATTATTAACATTTATTTGTTTTTTACATATATGTGTATATACGTATATAAATTGTGTTAAACATAATTACCACTATGGAGATTGTAATATGGTTAACAGTTGAATGTACGAGTGTGGCGCATATATAACTTGTGCCCCCTTGTACCAATATTTATGTGTTTAAATAAATAAATCAATGAATGAATTTGCGAGTCAAACTAAGCTAGATCACAATTGAAAACTTGGAAGCACTGGAAAGTTGTTTTGAATTTAGTGTGATCAAGAATAGATTGACTCATGAATTAAAGTGTTAAACATATATGATAAAAATTGAGAAGTCTTTAAATACATAAATGCCTTCCAAATTAATTTACATGACATATTATTCATGCGTAGCATTAACTTTATTGTTTTATTAAGAAATTAGTCAATAAATTTCAGGTTGCTATGTTTTAAATGAATAAAATATTCCGTTATCATCGACATATAAAATACTTTCCCAATCGATCGAAAAACTATAATAATAAAACTAGTTAAATTAATACTTTTCACAGGACATTTCAACGGTAAACAAAAAGATGAGTATATGCGTTTTTCATAACTAAAATACAGGAAAATTTACAATAAAAGTGTTGACATCTAAAAGAAATACGAAAATTTCAAGTTCTAGTTGTAAAGGGATCATCTTATGGAGAGTATTTCCAATCTGAGGGTTGTATTGATCATAACTGGTAGAATATAGAAAAATCAAAAGTGAAACGGTTATCACAAATATTATTTGATGATTATCACGTTATATTGAGAATCGACTGAACTTGAAATTGTCCCATTGGATGCAAAATCAACGGTTTTGATAGTTAACGGTCATCTACGAAACCTAAAGATCCTGGGTTCGACCTTTGGTGATATCACTGTTGCATACTATGGAGGGGTCTCATAATAAACCAGAACATCTGTTCAGTGTTTTATGATGGGCGGTGTCCGAAATGTGATAGTAATACACGACGTGCTACACGCTAACCCCCCAACCTGACTACTTAGGCGAGAACACAAGAATGAACAAGAAAGCACATTGGGCTACCGAATAATATGTACAAATATTCAATTATATGCATACATCTCTACCCCTTAGAAAATCAATCAATTTCTTAGCCAACGATATGCGTTTGTCCATTAGGTCACTTCTGACCAGCTTACTATATCACACTATTCATTGGTTTTCGATAGTACCCCCATTGCGATCATTCTACGGCAAATATAACTTGCGAATTTCAGGCTCTATTTTATGACAACACCTTTAGCATAACGAATACTTATAAACTCATTTTCACTGAGAGAATACTAGTACTAATTCTCCTTATTATTTCCAATGAGTATGAGTTACCAGATTATAATTGGAAAAATATAATAAAGAAGTTTAGTTAGGATATAAAACAAAATAAGGCCAAGGATTAAACCTAGCACAGAGCAATCAAAGTGATTTCATGTAGACTGAAAGTGAATGCATCATAACAACTGATGAGTCTAACCATAACATTATAGTTAGATACATAATCTGAAATCAAAAAACCTAATCAGTATTTGGAACTGATGATATACGACTTCAGGCCGACAGATGAGCTAATAAATTTAATCTGGTCAACGGCGACTATACTGGCGTTTCCCGGTCACGACCCACATCCTACAGGACATACTGTAAAATAAAAGTTACAGAAACTGTCATAAAGAAAGTTTTCTACTTTTTAAGATGTGTACATTCAGCTTAATAAAAGTTCATATCCAGATTCTTCACGGGTAGGAACTATATTAAACCTAAATATTTTGTTTAAAAATTCGCTTGTCTCACACACGGCTATGAACATGATCATTTCATCAAAAATGATTTATGATCGGATCATCGTTAGTGATATTTTCGTGTTACTAATAGTTTCTTATTTGTTGCTCTAACAGTGACTTAATTCTTTCAACCATATATCATCGCTTAACGAGACTTTCTATAAATCTGAAACTGGCGAATCTACATATTATCGTCACCATACTTGGATATTTATATCTATTAATGACTGAAATGCGAATATTACCAATCGATATTCCAAAATGAATGTTTCAGCGGATCTGATCTTGATAACTTTCTTTCGATACTCCAAGATTATAAATCTATGTAAGTCGTTTAACAATAGTCAGTCCCAGTCACACAAAGGTGAATTTCAAATTCGAGTAAACGAAAATAGTGCAGTTTTTTATCAACTGGGGTAGACTATATACAAGAAAGTGAGTATAAGTATGAGGCTACGCAATTTTAGGATAGCTTTATGTGTGAGTAAATGATTTGGTGGTTGAATGCACTTTGCAGATATCAATCAAGTTTGTCCGAATTTACTATAAAAACTTTTATCATGAATGGGGAATTCGATTGTGAGTTGATTAGTAAATCACTCGTAACTTGATTGCGAAGATAATGTACAACTTGGTTGTGCTGACTATCTTTTTAATAAATTTAAATGAAGACACAGAGTTCACCAAATTGTTCTTGGAATAGAGAAAATCCCACCTACAAAGTTCTGGGATATAATGCCTACATTTTTAGATTACACATTACATGTCTACTGTTTGATTACAGCCAAGAAAATCATGATCTTCTATTTACATATCATTTTAATAAACAGTCTTCAATTGCACACGCAGTTGAAAAAAATATATAAGGAGATTGATATAGATTTTGCTAGGTTAATCGATAACTCAGATCCCATATGTCATTCTCAATTTTTATTTTGAAAATTTCTCAAAGCCAATGAAGAATATGTGTCAGAAAGATGATTTCGGTGTAAAAATATATTCCCTATGATTTCACTTCTTTTTCTTAATTTTAATGATATTTATTTTTATTTAACGAAGCATTTAGATTCTACCATAAATTTCAAGCAGGTCATAATGAGTTATTTGTCGTCTGATTGTGTGTCATCATAATGTAAATGGCAGTTACCTTAGAGAGGAAATTTTTTATGTTAATTCCTGTTTTTCACAAAACATACGTGCATACGGCAATCAGTAAGATAAAACAGTAAAGTAGCACATTAGTTAAAAGTAAAAATCATTTATGATGTCGAACTTGAAACATCGAATATTAAGAAAAATTCGAAGACCATAATCCAGTAACATCTTCACATCACACCATTATTATAGTACTTAATAGTGTAAATAACTAAGTTTTTAAAAAATACCACGACACTTGGCACAAATGCGGGGAATCTTTATTGATTGCATTCTTCAGACATAAATAGTAAGAACCTTAAAATAGAGTAGTAATTTAATCTTTACACCTAAATGTGAATTAGATACCCGAAAATCTTAGAAATCCACGAAAATCCTAAATAGGCACATATGTGACTGGCTTCAAGAGGTATATAATGGAGTTCTAGTGAGAAGCAGTGACCAGTGGAGTTCAACCGGGCCGATTGTGAGATAGTAACTCACTGATGACAATGGTGTATGTGCCGCTCAATTTCGTGGATAAGTTGAAGTTAGGCATTAACACCGTTGGATGCCGACCAGCTCAGTGGTCCAATGGTTAAGCGCTCATTTGCGAGACTATTAGATCCTGGGTTCGAATCTCGCGAGGCGGGATCGTGGATGCACACTGCTGAGGAGTCCCACAATAGGACGAAACGGCCGTCCAGTGCTTTCAGGTTTTCCATAGTGGTCTGGCTTCAATTGACTCATGATCTTAACTATTGAAATTACTACAATCTCCACAAAACCCCTTCTGATACATATGAACTCATCAATGTGATGTTAAGTGCGACATTCACAGACACCTTTTAGTGAATAGCATTCCAACTTAAATAAGATAGCTTTTAGATTTAAATACATAATAACATTGTTGATACTCTAAGAATACATACAGTCATTAGCAATAATGAGAAATTTACTAAAGAAAATATCTCAGTGACATCAAAATAGAATACGTTACAGGTTCAAGAATAATCATGAAAACTTACATTCATTCGTGAAAAATTATCAGTAGTTATTATACCAGTTACAATAGGCAAGAATTGCATTCATTACAAAGTTATGAAATATAAAAATATGAAACAAAAGATTTCATATCAGAGACCTGAATGTATACAGTACGATGCAAGCTCAACACTATGGGTGAGGAATGCTAAGAAATAAAATATATTAACAGTACTCTTTAGTTTGGAATGTCTAGTTTCAGTTTATTTCAATCGGCAGTTGAAAATCACTGTCTGAAGTATATAAGATTCTTCACAAAATATAACAATTCGGACAAACATGCACACATACAAAACAATTTACGATTTGGAAAAACCGGAGAAGAAAAAAGTTGAGTACATTACAGCATATATTATTATTACCATCTAGTACAAAATCTATATTTACAGATGTACAGAAGAATAATAAAATTGAAAAGGATGAAAAAGTGATAAAAATGCATTCGTAATAAGTCGAAGAGGAACACGTCAAATAAAATTTATTTCACGTGTACGAATAATAAGAATAGTGGTCTGTGACAATATCTACACGAAGTAATAAATAAGAACAAATAATAAAACTATACAAACCAAAAATAGCCGATGCCAACGAACTGGCTACAAACCAATAACTTATACAGAATGGTAATAAACCATAAGCTGTATACAAAATGCATGAAAAGATATAACTCAAAGTATATGCTATCTGAAATTTCAAACATTTAAAGCATAGAATTGATGATAATAATGTAGTTGAATGTTGTTTATGTGTATGGGATTGACTGAATTGATTTAAGAAAAGTATATCAGCTAGAGCTTGTGTAGTTATATTTGATTGATCTGCAAGAAATAATAAATGCAATGGACATAATGCAATAGTTAATAAAAATTCACTCCAATAATACAATGGTGAATTTGTTCTACCGAAAAATTGACGATCAAACGTTGGCAAAGATGGTGCATAACCTTTAACAATTGGTGAATGAATAAACACCATGTACAACAAAAGAATAGTGAAACAGGTTAATGCTAAAACATGACGATATCGATGAAGTTGTTTACCATGAAAAGTGAAGATGATCCATGGAAGAAAGAATATCTATAAAAGAATTAAACAAATGTATATTAAAGGAGTCTATATATATATACAATTGAAATAAACTTGAAAATGTTTTGTATCTCAAACGACCTACTTCTATTTCCGTAGACAAACTTGGACAGAAGTGATAACGTAGGATAACTGATAATATAATGCAAACGTTGACTATAGATATTAGAATAAATCGTAAAACATAGTTGGAATCATTGTCAATGAGTCGAGCAGACCGACATCGAACCTGAAATTTGACGAAACATATTAAAGAGTATGATAAAACAAGAGTGTGTTGATCAATGAATGTAAATAGAAATATTTCAAGACTAAAATTAACTTAGGAAGGCAATAAAAACCAAGCACAGTTTAATAGCATCATTGACAAGTTTCTTTTTTCAGTAGTATAATTAGAGACTATCATTGTTCGCAACAGTTCAGTTTCATATTTACATAGAGAACCTACTGAAAACAGTAATAATTCATACATCTATCGTTATTTGTGTTATGCTGTAAGGTTTCCGGTTCTGATTTTGATACATAAGCCCGACTAGCTATTTGGGTGAGAAGAAAGATTTAATGGCCACACCGAATCGAGATATATATATGAATCACGTATAATACAATAAACAAATTCCACCACCCGATAATGTGCAAAGTTATATCAAACAATCTACCATGTTTACTTAATTTTATATTACGTGTGTATTATGTACTACAACACATTTGATCTAACGAGAAACTCATGATTACAACTAGGGTAACCCATCTCACAATATACACAAATGAAATGATGATGAATATAAATGTTATTCAATAGTCAAATTGAAAACTTATAAATACAATCGTGGATGTGCACTGCTGAGGAGTCCCATACTAGGACGAAACGGCCGTCCAGTGCTTTCAGGTTTTCCATAGTGGTCTAGCTTCAATTGACTCATGAATTCAACCAGTGACATTTCTGAAATTTCTACAAAACCCCTTCTGATTTTGGAAATGTCTTGGAAAAATTATTTTAAATTGTAGTATATATAACATCAAAATAAATAAATTTTTACATTCAGGTATAAATATGGTAAAATTTGAAATAAATATTGTCAGCAAATACCTTTAATTAGATGTTTGTTTTCAAAATAAAAATAGATTATTAAATTATTTACTGCCAGATATATATAATGCATACATACACAGACAGAACGACATAAATCTACAACTACTTGCCTTGTCACAGAGCCATCTTTGAGGGTATCCAACGGAGATTTGTGCAATACAAAATATTTTCAATGCGAATATTGTATACAACTGACAAATAATATCAGTCACAGATACTTCCAAATGATGAACAAGATATACTAATAAAATTAGTAAACTAACTAATGAACAAATTAACCTAGAATGTGATATAAATTGGAAATAAAAGCAAACAGAATAATAATAGTGATCGTGATAATTTATGATACATTTCAGTATTTATAATGTACAATTGATTGGTTTACTAAATTGTAAATTACAGGTGTTCTTGGTAATAAATATGATTGTAGTTGATGTGAATGAAGAAACAAAAAAATGACAAACAATGGGAGCTATTTTCGGAGACGTTATTTCACTTAATTCAAAGCTTATAAAACACTAATATTTAGTTTTGTCTCTAGTTTATTTTATAAACCATGAGCATTCGCTTGATGTATAATTCACTGCCAAACCCTTTTCTGTTCCAAAGTTATTGTAATTAAAACTTACTTTAGTACTCTATTTTTCTACCTTAATGCCCATTTTCGATGTAATTCTATTTTTCTAATTGTTGGGTGTTGTGGTCATGTTAGTCATTTACTTACTCACGAATCTTTTTACACTAAACTGAATGGGAATCAGGAATAAATGGAGTAGTGTTCCAGTTGACTCGTCTTCTTTCTCTCTCGCTTGTCAATCCATCAGGTGATAGAACAGTTTTCGCCTGTACTCAAGGTCGTCAGTCTCATTTCGGAATCATGCATTTCCAGCCTGTCGGGTCAAGACCTTAAGCCAATCGAGACAAGTTCCCTGCTGTATATAATTGGACGAACAGATAAAGGATTTAACGTCAGCATATAGTTTTATTTGATCCATCATTTTAACTACACGTTTTGTATTTAAATTGTGGGTTTCAGTAGATATTTAGATGATGACGTTCAATATGGGTTACTGTTATGTTGTGTATAAATTTGTGATTATTAAAATTATAAGCTTAATCATAGATGATACATTAGAAAATAAGTGATATAATTCAGTGTCAACAAATATCACGACTATTTATTATTTTTTTGGAAACTAATCAAAAAATACAAAATAATTCACAAATATCATTAAACATCTTGTTAGTTTTACGGTATAAAATAGCGGTTACGTATAAGTTTCTGAAATAAGCCGAAAGTAATTGTTATAGTTTACTAATAAAAATGTTAATTCCATACCCTAATTGAGTGTAATTTAATTCAAAGTAACTTAGTAATCATTTGTAAATTTAAGAACTGAGCTTCAATGTGTAAAAGATAGAAGTAGTATTAAATGTCTTAATAGTCAGGCTTCTAGACGATAGACAAATGGCTCAAATCCAGAGTATTTATCAAGAGAGTACCAATTTTAGGGTTATATTAAATTGTTTGTGAATTTATTAATTTTAACACATAAACATTCGTACACGGAGACACGAAATGTATATGCGCCACACAAACAATTTGATTTGTGTGAAGGCTCGGATACTGTCCAGTTGCCCAGACCGAAGCAGGTGGTTTTCTTAGGAGGGCAACCCCCTAGTCTTTGACCTAGAGATCTAATCCACAAGACAATGGGGCAACGTCAGGAGATGGAGTCCCATGGTAGTCAGTGACCAATAATTGGTTCATACGCCATTTGTTCCCTTAGGATCCTGAAGCCTATGTGCACTATTGGTTTGGAAACAGGATTTCACAACTGCCTTAAGTGGATCCTTCATATCCACCAACCCGGTTAAAGCGCCGGACATTTGCTTTCGTCCTCTCAATTTCGTAACACCAACCGCCGCGAGAAAGCAATGGGTAAGACTCCCCTGACAGTGGTTGTATACACATAGTCATGCGATAGTATTCGAGATGAAGAGCGAACTCTCCACATCGTCGGCCGTACTAAGGAATTCGGGGGTGGAAGCCTGCCTCGGGTGAATACAAAAAGTAATAATTAATATTTGATTTGCATAACTCATACAAAACTCATCAATGTAATTAACACAGCAATTACCTACGAACTTGGTATACTACAGTAATGAACGAGAACTTAGATTGGGAAAACCAATTTACTGTTTAGTGCGAAATTACAGTGTCTTCGTAAGACTATGATGACAAAACATTTACTATTTTATTTGAACATCGTCTTTCAGTTGTTGTGTACATGCTTCATGATTCTTTCAATTCTGTTGTTACTACAATCGCTCATTGTTTCCTTTCCTGTTCTCTTAAATTTAATCTTCTTAATCTTTTGCAGGCAGGCATTTTACTTCCGACTGCTGCTACATACTATTTACATGTTTCAGCACAAATAGAATGCACCATACTACTGAACGCCTTCATTTTTATCTAAGATTTCATAGTTTGTAATTTTCATCTTTACTTTCATAACAACAATTATTAGGATAAATATTATATTTTAGAGAATACGTTTTTAGTCTAAAATAAAAACTTATTACAATTGCGCTAAGATATCGTTGATGATATTCACTGAGTTGATGATCAGTATTACAATATTACATTTAACGATTAAAGGTTATGTGTTTAGGAGGTCACAATTAATCAACAGGAAGCTTATAGTTTAGCTAATGGTTTAGAACAGCATTTAACAAAGATTGATTTATTTACTACAAGAGCGTTTCTACTTACATTCATGACATTGATAACCAAGGTACATGTGATTTGAAATCAAAATTATACACGAGGAATTTAAGTTCATATGTCCTCAATATTTTTTTATGACATTCTCAAGAAAGTTCTGTAAACAAAGCAAATTGTTATCGTTATTTAACTTCGGTCACTTGTTATTCAATATACTGTCTTGTAATGTTATAGTATTACTTTTCCAGTCACAGATTTTCATTATGATCTCTTTACACAAACAAAAATTTTGACATTTTAATTTTAAGAAATTAAAACTTACAAAATTAATCTTATAAGTAATTCAAAAAATGAATCGCATACAGCTACATGACTATGTCTTGAATTATTCAATGAAACGGATGAGAATTTCTTCGATGATTTCTTCAATGAACCTCTACTGTCGTCTTTTTCGAACATAGTCATTATCATACCAGATTCGCAGTTAGTAAACGTACACTGAATTCGATCAGTTATAAAACTATCGTTAATATCCCAAATTACAAAACAAACCACACACGATACAAAAATTGAGAAAAGCAAAAATACAGTCAAGTTGGGAGGAAATAAATTTACCTACAAAAGTAAAGAAAACATAGACGGTGAAACAATAATAATAGAAATAAAATGACTGCAAGTTAAGAAATAAATTTTCCTATATTTAAAGAACAAATCACAAAATTTATATATTAGATTCTCGATCATATAGTATACAACTAAGACTATTACGCTTCGAATGAATAGATTTGATATACGGGTAACTCATTCGATAGAAATTAAAACTATATCTATCACAGAAAAGCCTAATTTAGACAAAATTTACTGGTGTAGATTGCCCGATTTCGAAGCAAAAAGTAGTAATGGGGAGGAAGAGGTAAATCTACATGAATACTGATTTGGTATTTAAACAAACTGGATAGGAAAGAGTACCTAACAATTAATAATAATAATACTGTTTTATTCAATACTAAAAATCTTAATGAAGTAAAGAATTCGCATCATCAATTGTGCAATATTACAACAAACGTCTTGTTGCCATGCATTCAAATTGTATTTATTCAAAACATATTTTATATATGATTTAAGTAGTTTGTGTTTGCCACAAACATTCAATCATTACGGTTTACTGCCACTTTAAATGCTATAACTCTTTTCCCAGCTATCGTATAAAAGGTGATTGAATTTCATACGATTTGTCTAACGTTTTTTCAAAGAGCAGATAGAGAGGAAATATCTCAAGAAGTGTAATGATTCTGTTTGATTTTTACACTAATTAGCATTGTAATAATTTATAATCCTTTTACGACAGCTCGTAAGTATAAACAATTACCATTCAAAATTATTCACTTCAAACAAATCTAAAACCGGTAGGTTAATTCTAGCATTTTCACTGTTGAATAATAGGTGGTCAAAACGTTCTCGCGAACCATCGGTATTTCATATTGTCATTAAATCAAATTGGTATTACACTATTATTGTATGAGAATACTGTTTCGAAAAAATATCAAGATACATTTAAACGCTAAGTGAAATGATATCAATCAGAATTATGACAGATTGTAATGCGAAACAAACACCGAACCAATATTGGAATTGGAGGACGTTTTAAAAAAATGACGAGAGCAAAAACAAAAAAAACAAGCGATGAAAACAACAAAGTAATAAAACAAAGATGGAATATGCATACTACACAGTCAGTCATAAGGAACCTAGAAGCTCATACGTAAATGAATCGGTCAAAGTTTACAACCAAAACAAACATGTGTTCATATATTCATCATGATTATCTTGTAGGTATAAAACGCGAAGCCTACACCTCTACGCTCCATACACAATATTCAACAATTCCAAAGCTAATACATTGACTAACTATATCTACAATTAGTGTTTCGTACAATAGCACTATCACCGTTGCTACCATACTATATGAACAGAATATTATTATAAGAGATATAAAATCCGGAAAAATTCGAACTTCCACGTGATTTGAAGTTCCATATTAATCCAATGGACAATGAATATTATCGATCAAATAAAGGTCTATACAACAATTCAATATGATTTACACATCCACAACTTATGTTTTCCTTATCCCCGTAAGTACTAATAAAACATTCCTACTCAAATACGCTACAAAAAATTATGACACGACACGTTACAGTTTAGTAAGCTAAGTATCAAGTTGTTTTAATCAGCTAGTTTCCAGTTTGTCCATTTCTGTTTTTCTTAGAAAAACAAACACACGAAACTATTTAACATATTGAATGACTGAAAATATATTTGGCATTGTCTCAACAACAAAGTTTAGTAATTAGCTCCACTAAACTGTACGATGATCTTGTCCACACTTAAAAATTATCGATGATAATTGAAGTGATTACATTTGGTGAAGTATTCTGTTGCAAAATATCAAGTGTTTTGAGCAGATAAATTAAAAACTTCATTCATTGAAAACGTAAGAATATAGTTAAAGAACACTCCCAGCATCGAGATCAAAAGGTCGGATTCCGTAAGGATCAGTCGTGAACAGACCAAATCCTGACACTGTGATCGTCGTTGAACAATCAAATAAATGGAACTAACCATTACAACCATTACTAAAACAACTGTCAGCCAACAGCAAATTAAGAACCATCAACGCAGAAGTTAATACAGTTCTACTGTACGGAGCTGAAACTTCGAGAACTATTACAACCATCATCAAAAAAATTACAGACATTTATTAACAGTTGACTATGCAAGATACTCAATATCCATTGACCAGACACCATCGGCTCTAACCTACACTAGTAGGGAACAAACCAAATTCCAGTCGAAGATGATATACGAGAAAGAAGCTTGAGGTGGACAGGGCACACACTGTGATCAAACTGCATCACAAGGCAAGCTTCAACTAGGAATCCAGAAGGCGAAAGCAAAAGAGGAAGATCAAAACACATTGACTTGGGAATGGGAGGCAGAAATCAGAGTAGTGAATAGCACTGGGAAATAACTGGAAAGGAGAGTCCAGGTAAGAGTTGGTTGGAGAGTCGTGATGGGGGTCGTACGTTCCACAAGGGGTAATAGGCATAAGTGCGTAAGTAATGGAGTTATCGATGGAAAATGATAAAGCAACAAATTTACGAAGATTTCGAAAACAGATTTTGTCAAAAGTATTCAAATAATGATCACTGCACATCTTGTTATGCATGCCAAGTTAAAGGATTTTAAATGAAATGATAACGAGACAGAATCCAAAAAGTAATGTAAGTTATACATGTGTCCGGAATATCTCCAGTGACCGCTAGCCACGTGCATTGCAAACCACTGTTCCGAGAATATTAGATCTTAATTGTTAACGAGTGCATCGTGTGCATTCAGTCATTAGGACAAAAAAGGAAAAAGTTAAAATTTAGCTGCAGTAAAAAATGAGCTACAATAATTCAAATACTATTTAAAATAGATCAGATTAAATACGATAATATAAGTGTACACAAGTAAATGTAGGTATAAGAAGTGTAGTCAATATTCAATAAATTTTAAAGGTCATTTTGACTACGAACAGAGATAAGATTGTAATGTCCGGGAACTGATTAGGTCTATGCAAGTTTCATAGTTCTGATAAATTCAAAACCATTTATTTGTCAATACACCTTCTAGTTTTCAGCAGTTTAAAAACGATGCCAATTCATGATGGAACCCATATTTCAATTAAACAAAAGCTATTAATTTATCATTTTAAAAAAATAAAGTAGATTAACTTACTGATATCATAGAGGTGAATGAAACAGACAAAATGAATAAACCAGGATAAATTACATTCTGAAGTGCATACATAAATACACTAATAGAATATGATTCCAATGTTGCATAAGAGAATAAACATATCATCCAAATTATGCATAATATACAAGTAGGAATAGTTACGACGTAGACAACAGCCCTAAATATTTTCGTGAAGTAAAAAACAAAACACAAAACAAACCATAATTGTTGATTAGAGAATTTTCAAATGTGATTTATTAAGAACTTGGACATATTTCTCAGATTAACAATCATAGTACTAATCATGAAAATGACAGTAATATTAGTTGTTGTGATAATAATGGGATTTAATTTTTTAATTAGTTTTATGGATATACACATACAGGAGTTAACTAGTTAACTAGATAGCGACTCGGACTGAAACGTCTATATCTGGAAATTGTACCAGATTGATGAAAATCAACATATTAATAGAATAAGTTACATATTGTGATATGAGAGTCAGGCAGTCAAGTCATCTGCGACGTAGGATCAGGCACATATATACATCAGTCCAAGTTGCTATACATCATTACCATAACAAGATGAACACCGAATTAATAGTAGTTAATCCAATGGTAGTAAAAAAGATTTCATATAAAGATATTATACAGAGAGGAAGAGTTGGTTTATTTATTTGAACACAAAAATATTGGTACAATGTAGCACCAGATATATATGCGCCACATAATAATAATGAGAATGGGAAGAGATAAAGAATGTAAAGTGCGTATAAAAAGAAAATAAAGAAAAATGACCGCAAATTACTGTATGGTAGTGATATAATAATAATAATAATGGGAGAAACAGAAAGAATTCGTTCAGTTAAAGAAGTGACGGCCACTTTTTATGTAGAAAGTAAAAGAAGGTTAGAGCAGGATCGCCACTGGATTCCATTATGGGCCCCCAAATGCCCTGGTACGGCCGAGAGCAGGGAGAGTCCGCTCTCCCTCTCCGAATGCTTTCACACGGCCACGTGCATACAACTACTTCCAGGGAAGTCCTACTCACTGTCTTCTCGTGGCGGGGGTGCTGTTTACGAAATTGAGAGGACGAAAAGCGAATGTCCGGCGCTTTAACCGGGTTGGTGGACATGGAGAGTCTACCTAGGGGAGTTGGAAAACCCTGATTCCAAACCAAGGGTGGACATGGGCTCCAGTATCCTGAAGTAACAAATGGCGTATGAACCAATCGTTGGTCACCGGCTACCATGGGACTGCATCTCCTTACGGTGCTCCACTGCCTTGTGGATCAGACCTTCAGGTCGAAGGCTCCGGGTGTGGCCCCCTAAGAAAACCACCTGCTTCGGTTTGGCCACCCGGGCAGTATCACAGCCATCACACATATCAAATGAGATCTGTGTGGCGCATATATATTTGGTGCCTCGTTGTACCAATATCTATATGTTAAAATAAATAAATAAAAGTAATTATGAGCCATATCTGATAACATCTCTAGACACTGTGTTGCACCATCTCTCGGACCCCAATCAGGGAGTAGCGAAGGACCAACAGAAGCCAGTCCTAGGCAGATTTCTTTCATGCCACGACACCATATCAAACAGAGACCACCTCTCCGCTTTTTACAATCAGCATCGGCAAATAGTGCACGACGAGGGATTCGCTGGGACGACATTCGTAGAACATGTCCAAGCCACCGAAGTCAATGTTTCAAGATAGTGACACCAATTGAATTACCGTCTCTGCACCCGAACACACGATGCCGAACCTCTGCATTACTAACATGGTGTTGCCACTGGATGTCAGCGATCCTTCGGAGACAACGATGATCAAACACAGAGTCGCGTGGACCCCGATCAAGTAGTCTACATCTACTAACATGGCTCCGACAGGAAGTTAATGACTTTATGGATTGATGCCGCGTTTTGGTTTGGCCAACCCTAACTTTATTCCGTCCGTCTCCAACACTAGACAGCATTGCGTACCATGGTAATCGGTAGTTGGGCATATGTAACACGTGGCCCATATGATATGCGTAAAGCATAATTAGTGAATTTTATCAACTGTCACGCATTATGGTTCTGTGTTGTTGTTTTTTGCTGGCGAATACGATAGGATTGTAACAATTTTGAATGGAGTGTTGCTCATTGACTAGTGATGATATGATGATGTTAGGTCTGATTGCACATTATATCAATGTTGGTGTTTTGAACCGTAAAAAAAACTTTAAGATATTCGATTATGTCCATTGTATCTAACTACTATCATTTTCAATTATTAAAAAATTAATAAATGATTAAAAATGACAGTAGGCAGAGCAGTGTACAAACGTAAAAAGTAACCAGTCTTAATGCGTTAAAGTAAGTTCATTGATTGTACACAGATGAACCAGTATTATCCTGTTATCTATTTAGCATGTGATTTTTTCACTGCAAATTTCTTATGTCAACTTACTTCACCTTTGAGGCAGACTAGGTGTATGTCTTCCAACCACATTACACTACTTTTTAATTTATGACTATGTGAGATGGTTACTGAGAATAGAAGACATGAATAGGTTGTAGGCATTTGATCATAAGTGTTTTCAAAGCACGTTTTGCGTTTCGTGAGACGAAAAGCATACAGTTCTGGGCAAAAGTGGCAAGTCATCCAATGAGGTGGTGAATTTTCATCGACTGCGGCGGTTGGGATATATGTCACGAGTGATCAACCAACACTTACCACAACAGATGAATATTGATACGTGTAAAACGAATGAGTGGTAGTGATATTTCACTTCCACGGTTTGCCGGAAAAACCATGAAATCGAATGAAGAATACTAACAAAAGCCTAAATAACTGGCTTTACAAATAGCTAGAGATTTGTTTATCATTAAAAATGTAACACTAGAAACAATTTTTGTTTTATTATTCCCACTTTCGATAATAAAGCTACGTTGCAAGTTCGCAAAAATATAGAAATGTTAAACTGATTGCAGTATGTTAAGAAATAGCGTCCATGTTGAAAAGTTTTATCAAACTCCAACATAATAGCAACTCACAACGGCCTAATACGAAATGCTAGAGGTGCGAATATAAAGCCAAAGCCGTGATGAAGTGAATAGTTTGAAAGTTATTAGTCCTTATATCGAACAGAAGGAACATTCTTTACAGTTTTATTGATTAGTAAAGCTAGTTAAGGAAGCTATCTTCGGTACTAATCAGTTCCACGAATTATCGAGTCGAACACCTAACCGGAAGTCAAGAATACAAAAACATTTCTGAGTTGGATTTTTTAATAAGAATGAGGATAAAGCTCTGTTTGTTGTGACAGCACGAGAAAGGAAAACAACTACAAAGTAATTAGGTGTGGGAAATCACGTTGTTGGGACTAGCACACCCGTATTACTCCTGACATGGTAGTTCAGTTGGAAATTTAGGGGTTTGTTGAAAGTATATACGGATTCCGTATACTGTCAATAACTGCTGTAAGAAAGGTAAGGAAATGTTTTAAATTAGAGCATCCATTGATTTCCCCGTAATCACCGATGTAAAACTTATTATTAAGCTTAAGTCGAAGGTCACACTTGCTATGCGAGGATATCTTTGGGATTACGACAAAAATTGTCACAGCATATATAAATACACGGCTACTGTTCCAAACCACGTTAAGCCCACAAGAATCATCTGGGTAGATAACCCACAGATATATACATGACCCAGATACCTAGTAGAAAGGTAATAATTGTTAATAGCCAGGAACAATTTAAACAGCTACGTAACTTAGTTTAAACAATGCTAAGGAAAAGATCAAATAGTAATGAGATAGCGTTTGAACACAAAATATAATCCTTTTAAATTACATATATACATATACGTGGTGAGACAAAAAAGTGATAACATACTCAGACAAATTAAGATCAAGCTGAATTGAATTAAAAGTTAGTGCTAAAAGTAATAGACCAATTTGGCAAAATTACGAGAATAACCAGACGTTTCACAGCTTATTAGATTTAAATTCAATGCAGATGGTAGAATTAAAGCTAAACTGGTCACCAGACATGAAATAGCTAAAATAGAAACAAAACAATGAAAAGAGAATAAATAATAGGGGGTATGGGAGTTTTACAACGATTTACGGAATGAAAAATACAGTAGTTTAAACTAAAAATGGAAATAACATGGATGATGGAACTAAAAAAAAAGCAAGTCAGACATTTTTGAAAACATAGACGAACTGGAAAAACAATAGCTAAGTAACAAACACACGAATACAGGTAGCAAAAGATCATACATGAGGACGCTTATTATAAAAAAACAGAAATCTGATTTATTTAATGATTTTTAATGGGAATATATGAGTACGATGTGAATAAAACAATATGACTTTAATAGTTCTGCGACATTATGGCACTCTAATATCCTAAACATGCTGGCCTGTATTTGGCATTAATAAGTTTGGAGCAAAATAATGATAAGCCATATATGTTATTTCGATTTGGTGGTCTGGCTTGTATATCGCAATAATTTGATTGGAGCATATCAGCTGGAAGCTTTTATCTTCTAGATGATGTGATTTCATATAGGTCGGTTGAAGAACGATAAGCCTAGAAGCAGAAAACATAAGGCCCGGGAGTGAATTCGTACTTCTGACCCTACAGAGGTATGAAAGCAGTAAGGTGTTCCACACAAGCGACCAACATCTGTACTCATGTTGATTTCCCACAACGGAGAGAAGGGGCTACAAAATGTCGGTCCTAAGCATAGTAATATTCATCCTGTCCTTTAAATTTTCGTCTACGGTGGAAAATCCTGAAAACTACGGCGCTAACACAGAACGAACTACCCATAAAAAGGTAGTATATGATAACTACCATTTAGTTACTCCTTGGGCTTTGCGACCAAGCCCCTAGATTTTCAAAATCACATTAACAGCAACCCTTCACCCAGGACCCTCGAGAAGTATTCTTCATGGTGTGGCCAATCGAGAAATGACAACTGCCGTAATACATTTAACAGCACTAGAGATCATCAACTGACTGGCTGATAACTAATGAACACAATTTGGTGAATAAATGAAACTTTGAATCGTATAACTGCGTATTAAATGAACTGATCAAGTTTATTTACGTTCCTCGTTGGGTTTACATATACACACTAAGGGAGAAGATAAACCAGTACACTAACACGTTTGGATTTTATAGACAAGACAACAATTACGAATTACCAGCATTATCTTCTTAACACAAACCTCAGATGGAAAGATGTTTTATAATGGTAAATAACAACTGTATTGTATATATACCGTAAACTTCCATCAACGTATAAATGCTTCATTTTAATGTAGATTCCATCCAGCAATACGTGAGCATACTTAAATTAAGGACCTGATACAGTAAGGACTCGGAAAGAAAGGGACACTCGTCGTTGCCTCTGCTTACTCTCCCACTGACTGCAGCTCAGATGATGTAAAAGATGAGTTCTACAGAAAGCTTTCTGACCTTCTTCGAAAAGCTAGGCGCTCTGATGTTGTAATAGTGGCTGGTGATTTTAATGCTCAAGTAGGTAAACTAAGTGAAAGGAAAAGACACCTGGATGGATCTTATAGTGTTGTGGCTCAAAGAACAGATAATGGCGACCGTCTGTTACAGCTATGCTCAGATAACCGCCTCTTTCTTGCAAATACTAACTTTAAGCATAAGCAAAAACATCTTTTAACATGGCGACCCCCTAATTCGTCCCAACGTTGGACCCAAATAGATCACATCGCTATCAGCCACCGCTGGAGGGGCTCGATGGAAGACTGTCGCTCATTCTGGAGCACATGCTTAGATTCAGATCATGTTCTAGTGCGAGTGCGTATTTGTCTGAGTCTTAATGGACTTAGGAAAGACGCTGCAAGGAAACTTCTTAGGGCCCTACTTAATGATAGTCAAGCTAAGAGTATATTTCAGGAACAACTAGGAAAACAGTTAGGCAGCCATGTATGTGATGCCCACCCCGAGGCAGCATGGAACGATATCCGAAAAGATGTGGAAACAGCAGTGATATCTGCTAGTACGGTAACCCGTAAAGTTAGGGAGCAACACTGGATCTCAGCAGCATCTATCGCACTGATAGATGCTCGGAAACTCATTCCACCTGGCTCTGAACATAATGAAGAACGGAGTCAGCTTAAGCGCAAGCTGACAAGAAGTCTACGCAATGATCGTGAACAGTGGTGGGTAGCGAAAGCAAGAGAGATGGAAAAGGCAGCCGCAATAGGTAACAGCAGACAACTGTTCAGACTTGTGAACGAAATCGGTATTAGGAACCCAACTGTTAGCGAGACTATCACAATAATAGTATTTCTTGACCTTAAGGCGGCATCTGACTCGGTTGATCGTGAGTTTCTATGGCAGTGTTTGTCACTGAAAGGAGTACCAAAGAAATACATTAACATTGTAAAGGCTTTCTACTCGAACACAACTGGTAGAGTGAGGGATTATGGTGAACTGTCATCAGAATTGATTACCTCAAGTGGTGTTCGTCAGGGCTGCCCACTCTCTCCATTCTTGTTCAACTTTGTCGTCGACGTACTTTTAGAGATAACATTTTCCTCGTCTAGATTTCCAGGGGTTGAACTTCTACCGGGAGGTTCATTTGTTGACTTAGAGTATGCAGATGACATAGTTTTATTTGGTGAAGCCGCTGACAAAATGACCATTGTAAGCAACAATGCAAGCATGTTCGAGATGCGATTCTCTCCCTCGAAATGCAAAATGTAACTTCAGGATTGGGTGGCATCGTCACCCAAACTAATGATAGGGAGTGAAGTAGTTGAGCGTGTCGACCGCTTCACTTAACTTGGAAGTCTCATCAGCCCTTGTGGTCTGGTGTGTGACGAAATCTCAGCACGGATACAGAAGGCTCGACTAGCTTTTGCCAGCTTGCGTCATTTATGGCGTAGGCGAGATATCCGTCTACCAACCAAAGGACGTGTTTATTGCGCAGCAGTTCGTTCCGTCTTACTTTATGGCAGTGAAATATGGCCAGTAAGAGTAGAGGATATTCGTAGGTTACTAGTGTTCAATCATAGGTGTCTTCGAAGCATTGCTCGTATATCCTGGGACCACCGAGTAAGTAATGCATTTGTTAGGAAACGGGTACTAGGTAAGCATGGCAAATAAAATGATGAAGTAGTGGAACTTCGTCAGTTGAGTTGGCTGGGACTTGTGTTACGTATGCCCAACGACCGACTGCCCCGACGTGCGATGTTGGAAGAAAGTTAGGCGTAGCCATACCAAAACATGGCACAAGTCCATGAAGTCACTTACAAGTGGACTGAGTTATGTTGGTAGGTGTAGACAACCTGGTTGGAGAACGCGAGATGATAGCAACCGATGGTTAGAGACCCTATATGACATGGCTCAAAATTGTTTGCACTGGCGCAGGTGCATCCACTCTCCTTGTGTTCTCCAAGTTCTTATCTCCTGTATTCTTTGTGTCCCTTTTCTTTTCCTCCTTCCAAATTTATTTCACTGTATTATACTCTTTAAGTAACATCTCCAAACCCTAATGTTTCGGATTACTGCTTATACCTTTACTATCTCTTGAATCGACAACTGTATCTCTGTGTTAGTGTGGTGTGGTAACTCGAACGGATGTACGTACGTACGAAGTTCTACGTTGTTACTGACTGACTGAATGAAGGGCCTGATATACATGACACTGATCACCACCCAATGATCAATCAATTGTAAAAGTCAATGACAAATACTTTAATGAAATGGTGGTCACTTTCGCAAAATTTCAAAGGAAGCACATTCAAAACGCTGAAGGATAAAATTGAAGGTAGTTGACCATATTTTCTGTCATATATTTTAAAGTTACAAAAAGAAAACAAGATAACTTACAAAACTGAATAAGAATATAAATATTTGAAGTAAGAAATAGATCAGTATCCACGTTAGAAAGTAACATCACTTGGGACCAGACTAAAGTGATAGCGGTACAAAAATACCCCACCATCATTAATGGTTCAATCACAATACGACTCTGAAAAAAAGGAGTAAGTGGATCACTCCATTTTCAACAAGTTATTCAACCATAATCATACATAATAGCGTACATCTGTATCATCCTTTAATGGTTATAACTTCATTATCATAAAAAAGTAACAAATGAAAATATGCGAAAACAAACCGATTTCGTTGAAATTCTGGACCGATCTAAGTTAGATAACCATTGAAAACCTAGGAGCATTGGGTGGCTGTTTCATTATAGTATGGGACTTCTCAACAATGCTCACTCACGACCCCCTGCGCGGGGACCGAACCCAGGACCTTCAGTCAAGCAGGCGAACGCTTGACCCATAGGCTGGTTCTGGATTTCAATGAAATTCAACGACTTTCACAACCCTATACTTACAATCATCATGTGGTCACTAGTGCCCAGCATCGAGAAATTTCCGGAGTCCTAGTAAGAAGTTGTGACCAGTGGAGCTAATTCGTGCCGGATGTGAGGCAGTTGTCCACCGAAGACAATAGAAGATGGTCGGGCAATATTATGAACTGATCGAAGTTAGACATTAACATCGTTGGATACCGGCCTACTGATCTAGAAATCAAGCGGCCGTGCGAGACCAGAGGTCTTAGGTTCGATCACCGTGCAGATGGTTGTGCACTGCCGAGGAGTCCTATTCAAGGACGAAACGCCCATCCAATACTTATAGGTTTCGAACGGTTTTCCAACTTTGATCGGTTTGTGATTTCAATGGAATACATCAATCTTCGCATCCCTATACTAGAAAGTAATTGCAGCCATTATATACATAACTGTAAACTAGGCAATGAGATTGCCGCCAAGTGCTAAAGTTGGTAATAATATCTAAAGTCATTACTTTAAAGACTGATATTACCATACTTGGCACACTATTCACCGATACTAGAAGTTAATTTGATTTACTTAACATTTTACAGATGAGAACTTTCAAATTATGCACCTATGACGAAATATCTATGGATAAACTATTGGTTCAAAAAAGACTGATAAATTAATTTTATACACCCAGAAAGTGGATTCGAAATTAACATCCAATTGTCATGAAATATTGCATTTTAAGATGCAGTTTTATGAGCTGCTTTTTCAGAATTATTACAGTTTCTTTAATCCTTCCGGAACATCAAAAATTACAAATGACAGAGTAAAACTTCATGACGTATGTAAAATACAGTGTTTTTTTACTCTCATTCAAATTATTCACTGTCACGATTTTGTGATAAAAATTTATAGTTATCATTTCTAACATACTTTAGTAGAACTGAACTGTCTAATCTTATACAAACTTTGACTACTAATATGATATTCCTCCAACGATCAATAATTATAAGACTATAGAATTCGACGAAGAAAATATGTAACTGAGGATGGAGATGTTGAAAACTAAGTAGTTCCATACACTAGTGTCAAACTTTAGGGGTATCAATAGAATCACTATCTACCTGTGACGCATTCGGGTACACATCGCGTGCATTTGTTAACTACCAAATAGTTATATTTAAAGATTACAAATAAATATATAAACGAGGAATTCTGCTTACTGGTAAATACTTGAATAATAATTTCGGTTATATAATCACGTTTTTTGATAATTTGTTAATGATAGGTGTGTTTGCTCATACGCCTTATTACAGGAGTGAATGTATATGAATAATTTAAAAAAGATGATTCATTCATATTTTCATTTTAAGTTGCAGTCATCACGATGAATATACAATACAAATAACTTCTAGCTATGAAAACAATGCAATATCACTTATCGGGATACATAAGTACTCAAATCCTAGTAATAATTTATGAGGTCTTTACAACACAAAACAGTAAAATGTGGAGTAGACTTAAAGATGTGACGCTGATTATAATGCAGAAATACAGTATTAGTTATTAGGATTCATACTACTTGTGACTTGTAAGTAGGAACTATACATAGGACAAGACAGTCAAACATTTCATTCTAACATGTATGACCAAAGAGGAAAAAACTAACCGGTGAGAAAAATGGATAAAAATCCAAAAGGCATCTAACTACTCGTTTTCCAAGCTGATAAATCCTTTCGCTGCAAAACAATCCCAAAAGTAGCAGATATAAACCCACAACAAAATCTTTATTATAATGTACACGATGATTTAATGTGTTATGGTGAGTAGAATTATTGACATATTCATTTATCCACAGTAAAAGAAGTTTTAAGATGGCTGGAACTAAACAACAAGGAGCAAAAACGTTCCAACTGAAAATTTTCACTGGAAAACTCCGATTTAAAACGGAATTATTCATGAAACGTCTTCGGTTTGTAGATGCAGCTGCCCTACACCAAGAAACAAAAAGAATTAGAGAAACTTGAGTAAAGAAGAAACGACTGTAGCAGAATAATACGAATTCATTTGCTCCGTAGAATATCTTCAGCCATTAACAACCTAGAAAATAGTATTGACCATACAAAAACAAGTATATATACTTTACTACAAAAATATTGAATAAGGTTACATACGGGGCAAAACTAAAAAGAACGTATCCAAAACACAAGCTGGTCTACCACTTGCAACATTACAACGGTTAAATGTGGAATAATCCCTGAAATATGTCATCACATATTATGCCCATTGGTTTGTACGTATGTGTCAAAGTACATACATTGTAAGAACAGAGGGGACCATTAATGTCTCCAAGTATCTTCGAGCGCATTTCGCAAAGTTTGTAACCAAAAGTACAGCAGGCTGCCAACAGTGTAGTTGTTCATCATTTGCTTGACAGTGAACGTGATGCTTAAAAATGTTTCAACATAATCCACAGACAAAGAAACTCAGAATATTGCACTTTATTGAAGCCGTTGTGATGAAAAGATTTAAACTGAATTTATGCATCCAATAAGTTAGTTACCAATCTTATTTTGCCTTGGTGACCTCGTTTTCATGAAATTATTCCTCTGTGACATTAACTATGATTTTTAATTTTTAATATCTTGCTTCTGAGCACTAATCAGTTAGTCTATACATATTTGTAAGTATTACGTAACCTATGAAATGAATCTTCAGTTTCGAAAATTATATTTCAATGATCTTCTAGGATACTCATCTATTTAACAAACGTTTGAATAACCTTTTAATTCTTCCACAATTTCGTTCATCTTAATCTCTTTATACATTTAACTAAAGAGAGAAGTGCAGGATTTGTAGGATAACAATTACTCCCCTGGTGGTTGAAATTCCAATCCATTTCTCACTATGCTACTGCTTCATGCAACAAACTTGAATGATTGACTGATAAATATTTTACCCGAACGCTTAAATCGATTTCCTAAGCTCTTCTGATAACCCTGAGGTAAATCTACACGACAACATGAACACGAGAGAAAAGGTGCGAAATGCCGAAAGAACGCTCTACTCCAAGGTTTGGTTTATGTACCAAAAATCGAGGGTATTTATAGCATTTCAGATGGTCTTGGGCTTCTGGAACCCTACTAAACATAGTAGTGGGATAGGTGATCGTTGAATCAGAAATGTGACACGAAACTACTTTCTAGATGTTACTGAGAAACTTCTATTCAATGTAGATTGGATAAAATGGTTCCAAGCGTTTTTAGAACCCCTTTAGGCTTTTATCGAAAAGTGTTCTGTAACTCCCCAACATTGACGAAGTTCGAACATGAAAAATAACAATCGGTAAAATGAAGACACTACCAATATGAATCGAATATATATATCACAAGGAGTTTTGTGGAGATTTTAGAAATTTCAATAATTGAAATCATGAGTCAATTGGAGCTAGAACACCATGGAAAACCTGGAAGCACTGGACGGCCGTTTCGTCCTAGTGTGGGACTCCTCGGCAGTGCGCATCCACGATCCCGCTCACCACCGCGAAATTCGAAACCAGAACCTATCAGTCTCGCGCCTGGCGCTTAACCAACTAGACCACTGAGCCTGCCGGCATCCAACGTTGTTAATGTCTAACTTCAACCAATCCAGTCTTGGGTTCGAAACTCGCGAGGGACGGGATCGTGGATGCGCACTGCTGAGGAGTCTCACACTAGGACGAAACGGCCGTCCAGTGCTTCCAGTTTTTTTATGTTGGTCTAGCTTCAATTGACTCATGATTTCATATATATATCATTTAAAATATTCTTACAGTAATACTGACACAACAGTGATTATGCAAGAATTGTACAGCCAGGATTCAGAAATATAAGTGGTCATATATAAACACCATTCGGAATAATGTAGAACTAAAAGAGGAAAATGAATTAATGAAAATGAGCAAATTGCGGCGAAACAAATCAACAACTTTATGCTTGAACAATCATATGTACACAACTCAATACAAATTCTAAGCTCAGGTAATTTGTATAATATGTACTACCCTGATATTTAGTAAAGTGACCAGTTTGATAAAAAATAATTAAAACAACTCATTGTGTTATCGGATAAAAATTAAAAAAATTCAGCGAGGAAAATCTTCTTTTCGATGAAATCATTCACTTAAGCTGTACACTCGAATTTATAGTTCCATGGTAAAAATAATTACAATGATTTTATCGATAATATTTATTTCAACACATAAACATTGGTTCAAGGAGACACCAAATGTGCCACATAAATGAATGGATTTGTGTGAGGGCTAGGATAACGCCCGGGCACCCAAACCGAAACAGAGGGGGCACACCCTAAGCCTTTGACCTAGAGATCTAAGCGGTGGAGTAATGTTAGGAGATGCAGTCTCATGGTAGCCGGTGATCAAAATTTTCTTCATAAGTTTTGTGCAGTTGGTTTAATAAAGCTTTTAAGTAACTGCTACGGTGACTGATCTTAACATAGCTGAGAAGGTAAGGTCGACACATCACAAGCATCTTAACGATCGACAACTGTTGAAATAGTACTAACGTAAGTAACTGTGAAGTTCTTGATTGAAGTCACCGATCAACTCAAAAAAAGTGTCCAAGATATTCAAAAGTCCACATATGTCACACCAACGAAGTAATATTTAAGGAGAAATTAGTCAACTATCTACATATTTTAGGATGATACACGAAAAAGGACCAACATTCGTTAGGAAATAGCATCAACTTTACTTCAGCGAAGACAAAACCTAGATTGAAATCAGAAGATTTAGTTATGAAAACAAACTTAAATTTCTTCTGATGCTAGTTTTTATGCGTCATGTAGAGTTAATATACCAAAAAAGGTTCGAATCCAATGTCAATCTTTATGAATCTGATATGATGAGTAAGGTTTCAGTTCATGAGTGAGAGACCTTAAAAACTAATAGTTCGTAACATATAAATGTTTATTTTGTGTTAGAATTTTATACATCAGCGTGTTTTTCTATTACATAACGCCCCCTCTACCGAGTAGCTGATGTACTGTCTTCTGAAATCGGTTAATTGTATGGGATAGAGAGTTACGTCAGCAACTCAGTTTTGCGAGCAGTTATCACTCGACGATATCGTACCACTCCTCATCAAAGTTGATTACGATCGAACCCACTCATCCTCGAAAGTCTTTCACGGTGAATTTTGAACACTAATTCATAACAGAATATCTGTTCATTATTTACTCAACTTTTGCAAAATACAGAATTAATTGAAACGCTACAGTGCCCTCATTAGGTTGAAATGCAACAATAACATTTTAATCGTTATCACTATCGGAAAAAGAAATTTCTCGAATCACAAGTTTTGGGAAAATAATTCATCTGCAGTCCATCCTGATATTGAAAAAGTTTCCATGATCAGCTGAATATGAGTGTCATATAATGAATGACAGAAGTTACTTTTGGAGGTCTAGTAGGTGATATTTGTGTAATCTTATCAATTATGAGTAAATAATAATTGGAAGTACAATTTCATTGCTTGGATTTTATTGGCTGATTATAAACTACAGTAATATCAAATGTTTCTATTAATACAGCAAAAAACACCAATTGGGTGAAAAAGTATTTCTTTTCAATTAGTTCCCCCATCAGTGTTGAATTGACCAACCACCATTTATTTGGTAATGACTTTATTTTTAATTGCAAAACTGACATAATAGTGTGGAGAATTGATGAGGAACTAATTGAGAAGAAATATTTATTCGACCAACTTGTTAATAAATTATTAACTCGTCACTTCTTAATGAGTAATGTATTAATTATTCGTCTAACCAAAATGTACTAGCCATTGTTGTTACTTTTATCATCTTGATGAAGTCTTCTAACGTTGGTGGACACTGAGTGCATTATTGTGATCAACCTAAAACAATAACTGTCTCTAATCTGGTGAACCCTTCTCTATTATAGTGAACGGAACTGTATATTTTATTGAAAATGAGATTGATTCCCAGTTCAAACGGCAATTCAGCTCAACATTAATATGTTACGTTTACCTGCTTCGGTCTGGGTATTCGGGCAGTATCACAGCCCATACACAAATTAAGTGACTTGTGTGGCGCATATGTATTCGGTGCCCTCAATATTTATGTGTTCAAATAGATACATAAATGTTACGTTTAAGAAAACGAGCACAAAAAAGTAGATAATACTTACTGCATAAAGAAACGCCAAAGATTATATCAAATATTTCTTGATTCCCAAATTCATAAGCAAACATTGTAAGTACCGAAAATATCAGACAAACAATTCCACTCCAAAACAAATGATTTATGGATCTCTTCTTCCAGAAAGGCTGCCTGGAATGAAACAAACAATAAATGTTTAATTAGGTCATGAAAGAAAAACGAGCTACTTTAATCAAACTTAAGAATCAACAAGAAAGGTATTGACCAAAATCTAGAAATCAATAACAGGATCGTTTGGCATAAACGTTAAGATAAACCACTAGGAGTAGGAGCTTTATGAACCGACGTCAGAAATCCTAGGCGGGATTTCGAAATTCAACTATTGAAGTAATCAACATTTGAAGGGAATATATCAAGCTTGGAAAATGGTGGTACTATAAAAAAACGACAACTAAATATAGAAATCGTTTAGACCATGTATAAAAGAAAGCTTTTAACGAAAAAGCTACGGGACCGTTAGGAAACTAATTCTTATTTACGTTCTACATCCGACCGGGACTTTTACAAATTTTCTGAACTAGTTTCATATTTTTGAGGTAGACAACTGCAGAATTTTACCGAAATTCATATGAAGATTAAAAAATTAGAACTTAATGATAATAATATGCGGACTGATTAGTTAGATTTGTGGACAAAAATCCAGTGTAAATAAACTATGTATCTATGTTATTATTATTATTATTATAATTATAATTATTATTATTATTTCCCACATTATTCACCCTCTTTTATACTTATACAGCGGCTCGTCTTTGGTGGAAATCCGACTGTATCTAAACGTTCTCGAGTCACTGTCCGGTTGAAAATTGTATGTTACCACCGAATATGAGTACTGAAGCAGTTTTTCTGAAACCACGTGCACCATTCAAACTGGCTGCCTTCAACGTTCGCACATTTATGCAGGTCGGACAACAGATAGGGCTGGCTATGTCTTTGGAAAGTCTTAATATCGACGTGTGTTGTCTATCCGAGACCCGTATTCAAGACTCTGGCGAAGTACTACAAATTCGATCTCCATCTGTCGCTTCGAAAAGCTTGTTTTACGTGCGCTTATCCGGGGACCCTGTGGCATCTTCGTCTGGTCTTGCTGGCGTTGGTGTCGCACTAAGCGCTAGAGCTGAGGCAGCACTAGTCGATTGGATCCCCATTAACAGTCGGTTATGTGCTGTTAGATTAGAAAGTTCCATCAAAGTGAGAAGAAATCGGCGTGAGAAACGATGTCTTTTCGTCATCTCCGCCTATGCCCCGACAGATTGCAGCCCGGATGCAATCAAGGATGAGTTTTACCACCAGTTATCTGTTCTTCTCCAGAAAGTGCGTTCGACAGATATTGTAGTACTAGCCGGAGACTTGAATGCTCAGGTCGGGCGTCTAGGCACAGAAGAGAGTCGTTTAGGTGGCCGATGGGGACTCGTTGGTCGCAGGTCAGATAACGGGGACCGTCTACTGCAACTTTGCACAGACCACAACCTGTTTCTGGCTAGCACTAACTTTCGGCACAGTCATCGCCGATGTGCCACCTGGCGTCCTCCCTCTGCATCTCAAGCCTGGACTCAGATTGATCACATCGCGATCAGCTACCGCTGGCGTGGTTGTGTAAAAGACTGCCGCTCCTTTTGGAGTACCTATCTGGACTCTGACCATGCCTTGGTCTGCGCCAATCTTGCCTTACTTTTCAGTGGACAACGAAGTGAACGCCATCAACGGATTGATGTTAGCAAGCTGGTTGCAACTTCTGTTGCAAGTAAGTATCGAACCGAGCTAGCCTCTAGGCTAGCTACCACTCCACCGAAAAGTATAGATGAGCATTGGTTGCAATTGCATGACGCCATGAAAATGGCGGGAACAGTCAGTTGTGGGTTTGCGAAACGTCCCGCTTTTAAGCACTGGGTTTCTTCTGGTTCCTTACAACTCATTGAAGCCCGTCGGTCTACTCCGGGTGACCGTGAGTTTGACCATAAACGAAGGATGTTACGTAAGGAAATTGGGCAAAGCTTGCGTAAGGACCGAGAAGCCTGGTGGTCGATGCGTGCTAATGAGCTGGAAGCAGCAGCTGCATCTGGTAACTACCGGAAGCTCTTCCAGCTCATCCGAGCCACTGGCAGCAAGAAGTCTGGTGTGAGTGAAACAATCTGCGAGGATGATGGGATGCCAATCACTAACATCCATCGACGTCTTGGACGATGGGCAGAATTTTTCGAAGGGCAGTTCAACTGGCCTGCTGCTCCGGCAACATCGGTCAGACTGTCCTGCCCTCCATGGCCGGTGACGACTGATCCACCAAACGAGGAGGAAGTCCGCAAGGAACTCCAACTCTTGAAGCGTTACAAATCACCTGGCCCAGATGACTTACCTCCGGCTCTTTTTAAAGATGGTGGTGACTTTTTGACTAAGGAATTGACGACGTTGTTTACAAAGGTTTGGGAACTAGAGAGTGTACCAACGTCATGGAATGAGTCGATAGTTGTCCCTATCTTTAAAAAGGGTTCACGTCGTTCCTGTAACAACTATCGGGGGATAAGTCTACTTCCGATTGCGTCCAAGCTATTGGCTTCCGTCATACTTCGTAGGTTGTTCAAAACCCGAGAAAGATTGACTCGCGAGGAGCAGGCTGGGTTTCGTTCTGGTCGAGGATGTATTGATCATATCTTCACCCTCCGCCAAATGTTAGAACACCGCCATACTTATCAAAGGCCAACAATCGTAGTGTTTCTTGACATCAGGGCTGCCTTCGATTCGTTGGACAGGACTGTTCTCTGGGATTGTCTATTGAAGAAGGGTGTGCCTGAGAAGTTTATTAACATCCTAAAAGCCCTATATAAAAACACCTCAGGCAGAGTGAGGGCATACAACCACCTCTCTCCATTGTTCCATTCGAGCAGTGGGGTTAGGCAGGGTTGCCCAATCTCACCATTCCTCTTCAACTTTGCCATCGATGACATTCTGGAAACAGCTCTGATGAATGTAAGTAATGGTGGTGTGGATCTGTTGCCTGGAGAAAGACTTCTCGACCTTGAGTATGCGGACGATATTGTCTTACTGTGCGATAATGCCCAAGGCATGCAATCCGCACTTAATCAGTTGGCAATCAGTGTCCGTAGGTATGGTATGTGCTTTGCACCTTCGAAGTGCAAAGTACTTCTACAAGACTGGCAGGATTCTAATCCTGTACTCACCCTGGATGGTGAGCAGATAGACGTAGTCGAGAAGTTCGTGTATCTGGGTAGCTGCATAAGTGCTGGTGGGGGTGTGAGTGATGAGATCAATGCACGAATAGTGAAAGCCAGAGCGGCTTATGCCAATCTGGGCCACCTTTGGCGCCTTCGTGATGTTAGTCTGGCTGTAAAAGGTCGGATCTACAACGCGTCGGTGAGAGCAGTTTTGCTCTATGCTTGTGAAACCTGGCCTCTCCGAGTTGAGGACGTTAGACGACTCTCTGTGTTCGATCATCGCTGTCTCCGAAGGATTGCTGACATTCAGTGGCAACACCATGTCAGTAATGCAGAGGTTCGGCATCGTGTGTTCGGGCACAGAGATGATAATTCAATTGGTGTCACCATCTTGAAACACCGACTTCGGTGGCTTGGACATGTTCTCCGAATGTCGTCCCAGAGAATTCCACGTCGTGCATTATTTGCCGACTCTGGGACTGGTTGGAAGAAGCGGAGAGGTGGTCAGTGCATGACATGGTGTCGTGGCATGAAAGAAAGCTGCAAAGGACTGGCTTGTGTTGGTCCTTCACGACTCCCTGGTTGGGGTCCGAGAGATGGTGCTACACAGTGGCTAGAGACGTTATCAGATATGGCTCAGAATAGAAGCCAGTGGCGATCCTGCTGTAACCTTCTTTTACTTTCTTCATAAAAAGTGGTTGTGTCTCCCTTACCTGAAAGATTTCTTCCGATTGTACCTTTGCGTTCCCTGATTACTAGCACATTACCTTACACCAATCTCTTCGTTATTGTTCTCTCTTTTTTTGTTGCGCTCCTTAGTTTTTTTTTCTTTCTTTGTATTCCTCTCGAATTTTCATTGTTTTGTGTGGCGCATATATATTGGCGCTCTCTTGTACCAATATTCATGTGTCCAAATAAATAAATAATGTATCTATGTAGGAATTCACATCAGCAGTGTTAACTAATAATCTTAATAAATGCCAAATGACAAGCTATCTGAGACAGGAAAATAGAGGGATGATTAAGAGGTATGACTTCATTTAAAATGAAAAGGTGTATTAACTACTCATTCAAGCTCCTGACAACCTATACCACTTTACAATGTAAGTAGAATGTAAATATACTTAATTAACTTATGAAAATGATAAATTAGGGGAACTTTGACAAGAGATTATGGGTGTTATTAGTAAAAATTCTATGACATGATGCCTGTTGAATAAATCTACCACAATACCTCACACAAAGAGACGAAGGAATAGTCCTAGCAATGATACTGTAGAACTTACCGAGAAATTCTGAACACATTAGAAAGGTTATTCCAATACAGTCCAATGATCATAACACATAGTATTGTTGACATGAACTACAAATAACGAATAGTAGTCAACGTAAGTTATGAACTGATAAGATATGAACTATCAAAACTATCATAGTAAAAAATAATAATTTCATTTTTATCGGAAAGGCTTGTTATGAAACAGAGTTTTATGTTAATGTGCTAAAGTGTCTAATCTCTCTTGCTATATTAACCAATACAGTGGATACTGAGATACTTCGATGAATCATATACTGGGTTAGAACTATAGGTACCAGTTAGAACTCAGAAGATCGGTGTATGGTTATTTATGAATGCAAAAAATCATTGGCACGATCAGACGCTAAGAAATGAAATGAAACGATGCCGATAAATAGAATAGTAATTACAGCATAGTAAAAGCAGAAAAAAACAATGTTAGGGTTTGTTTTGAATAAGAACATAACAAATTATTAGTCTCAACAGTACAGATCGTTTACATATTTAAAAATTTTTAGCGTAGACAAGATGTTGGATGAAATGAAGATTAAAATTAAGACAAGAGTATTAATTAAGCCGAAACAAAAAAGTACGAGTTACAAGATAAAAAATGAGCCTATTTATATAATGGTCAAGTTACAGAATATGATTAAATACTTAGACGGGGAAACGCCTGTCTTATGAATCATATAAAGTAAAGAAAGATATGCATAAGCTTTCATGCATAGTTGATATATTTTGCTCGATGAAACAAAAAGAATGTGATACACACAATGCGACATATACATATACGAAACTTCAAGTGCAACCTACCTTCAGAAATAGTTCTGTTTTCATTGTTTGGTGATAGTATCTAAGCAATGTAACTGAAACTATGATTAAAAAGACTAGAAAATGCACAGTGAATATGGGCAAATAGCTGAGTGTATTGCTCAAAGTGTCAAAAAATTCTGTGTGCATATTCAATAAAATAATCCCAGTGAACAAAGGAAGAACCATACGGGAAATCTGTTTATTTAAAGTATCTGTGAAAAATAAGTAAAACAGTAAAGAAATAAAAATAATTGAATACAATATTTTTCAGAAATTAAGTAGTAACGAAAATTTAATTAATAATAATTTATTTTTCTCAAACCGGCCCATTTATTATTTATTTTATTTTATTTGAACACATAAATATTGGTACAAGAGAGCGCCAATATATATGCGCCACACAAAACAATGAAAATTCGAAGAGAAATAGAAAGAGAAAAAAAAACTAGGGAACGCAAAAGAAAAAGAGAACAATGACGAAGAGATTGGAGTAAGGTAGTGTGGTAGTAACGACGGGACGAAAAGGTACAATCAGAAGAAATCTTTCAGGTAAAGGAGACACAACCACTTTTTAGAAAGAAAGTAAAAGAAGGTTACAGCAGGATCGCCATTGGCTTCTATTCTGAGCCATATCTGATAACGTCTCTAGCCACTGTGTAGCACCATCTCTCGGACCCCAACCAGGGAGTCGTGAAGGACCAACACAAGCCAGTCCTTTGCAGCTTTCTTTCATGCCACGACACCATGTCATGCACTGACCACCTCTCCGCCTCTTCCAACCAGTCCCAGAGTCGGCAAATAATGCACGACGTGGAATTCTCTGGGACGACATTCGGAGAACATGTCCAAGCCACCGAAGTCGGTGTTTCAAGATGGTGACACCAATTGAGTTATCATCTCTGTGCCCGAACACACGATGCCGAACCTCTGCATTACTGACATGGTGTTGCCACTGAATGTCAGCAATCCTTCGGAGACAGCGATGATCGAACACAGAGAGTCGTCTAACGTCCTCAACTCGGAGAGGCCAGGTTTCACAAGCATAGAGCAAAACTGCTCTCACCGACGCGTTGTAGATCCGACCTTTTACAGCCAGACTAACATCACGAAGGCGCCAAAGGTGGCCCAGATTGGCATAAGCCGCTCTGGCTTTCACTATTCGTGCATTGATCTCATCACTCACACCCCCACCAGCACTTATGCAGCTACCCAGATACACGAACTTCTCAACTACGTCTATCTGCTCACCGTCCAGGGTGAGTACAGGATTAGAATCCTGCCAGTCTTGTAGAAGTACTTTGCACTTCGAAGGTGCAAAGCACATACCATACCTACGGACACTGATTGCCAACTGATTAAGTGCGGATTGCATGCCTTGGGCATTATCGCACAGTAAGACAATATCGTCCGCATACTCAAGGTCGAGAAGTCTTTCTCCAGGCAACAGATCCACACCACCATTACTTACATTCATCAGAGCTGTTTCCAGAATGTCATCGATGGCAAAGTTGAAGAGGAATGGTGAGATTGGGCAACCCTGCCTAACCCCACTGCTCGAATGGAACAATGGAGAGAGGTGGTTGTATGCCCTCACTCTGCCTGAGGTGTTTTTATACAGGGCTTTCAGGATGTTAATAAACTTCTCAGGCACACCCTTCTTCAATAGACAATCCCAGAGAACAGTCCTGTCCAACGAATCGAAGGCAGCCCTGATGTCAAGAAACACTACGATTGTTGGCCTTTGAAAAGTATGGCGGTGTTCTAACATTTGGCGGAGGGTGAAGATATGATCAATACATCCTCGACCAGAACGAAACCCAGCCTGCTCCTCGCGAGTCAATCTTTCTCGGGTTTTGAACAACCTACGAAGAATGACGGAAGCCAATAGCTTGGACGCAATCGGAAGTAAACTTATCCCCCGATAGTTGTTACAAGAACGACGTGAACCCTTTTTAAAGATAGGGACAACTATCGACTCATTCCATGACGTTGGTACACACTCTAGTTCCCAAACCTTTGTAAACAACGTCGTCAATTCCTTAGTCAAAAAGTCACCACCATCTTTAAAAAGAGCCGGAGGTAAGTCATCTGGGCCAGGTGATTTGTAACGCTTCAAGAGTTGGAGTTCCTTGCGGACTTCCTCCTCATTTGGTGGATCAGTCGTCACCGGCCATGGAGGGCAGGACAGTCTGACCGATGTTGCCGGAGCAGCAGGCCAGTTGAACTGCCCTTCGAAAAATTCTGCCCATCGTCCAAGACGTCGATGGATGTTAGTGATTGGCATCCCATCATCCTCGCAGATTGTTTCACTCACACCAGACTTCTTGCTGCCAGTGGCTCGGATGAGCTGGAAGAGCTTCCGGTAGTTACCAGATGCAGCTGCTGCTTCCAGCTCATTAGCACGCATCGACCACCAGGCTTCTCGGTCCTTACGCAAGCTTTGCCCAATCTCCTTACGTAACATCCTTCGTTTATGGTCAAACTCACGGTCACCCGGAGTAGACCGACGGGCTTCAATGAGTTGTAAGGAACCAGAAGAAACCCAGTGCTTAAAGGCGGGACGTTTCGCAAACCCACAACTGACTGTTCCCGCCATTTTCATGGCGTCATGCAATTGCAACCAATGCTCATCTATACTTTTCGGTGGAGTGGTAGCTAGCCTAGAGGCTAGCTCGGTTCGATACTTACTTGCAACAGAAGTTGCAACCAGCTTGCTAACATCAATCCGTTGATGGCGTTCACTTCGTTGTCCACTGAAAAGTAAGGTAAGATTGGCGCAGACCAAGGCATGGTCAGAGTCCAGATAGGTACTCCAAAAGGAGCGGCAGTCTTTTACACAACCACGCCAGCGGTAGCTGATCGCGATGTGATCAATCTGAGTCCAGGCTTGAGATGCAGAGGGAGGACGCCAGGTGGCACATCGGCGATGACTGTGCCGAAAGTTAGTGCTAGCCAGAAACAGGTTGTGGTCTGTGCAAAGTTGCAGTAGACGGTCCCCGTTATCTGACCTGCGACCAACGAGTCCCCATCGGCCACCTAAACGACTCTCTTCTGTGCCTAGACGCCCGACCTGAGCATTCAAGTCTCCGGCTAGTACTACAATATCTGTCGAACGCACTTTCTGGAGAAGAACTGATAACTGGTGGTAAAACTCATCCTTGATTGCATCCGGGCTGCAATCTGTCGGGGCATAGGCGGAGATGACGAAAAGACATCGTTTCTCACGCCGATTTCTTCTCACTTTGATGGAACTTTCTAATCTAACAGCACATAACCGACTGTTAATGGGGATCCAATCGACTAGTGCTGCCTCAGCTCTAGCGCTTAGTGCGACACCAACGCCAGCAAGACCAGACGAAGATGCCACAGGGTCCCCGGATAAGCGCACGTAAAACAAGCTTTTCGAAGCGACAGATGGAGATCGAATTTGTAGTACTTCGCCAGAGTCTTGAATACGGGTCTCGGATAGACAACACACGTCGATATTAAGACTTTCCAAAGACATAGCCAGCCCTATCTGTTGTCCGACCTGCATAAATGTGCGAACGTTGAAGGCAGCCAGTTTGAATGGTGCACGTGGTTTCAGAAAATCTGCTTCAGTCCTCGTATTCGGTGGTAACATACAATTTTCAACCGGACAGTGACTCGAGAACGTATAGATACAGTCGGATTTCCGCCAAAGACGAGCCGCTGTATAAGTATAAAAGAGGGTGAATAATGTGGAAAATAATAATAATAATGATAATAATAACAATAATGACAATAATACTAGTAATAATAATAACAGTATTAATAATGACAATAATTGTAATGATAATAATCTGAATCAATTGTTTGTTTTTCAAAGCAAGAAAGGTAATTTCCGTAGGCATAAAGAGTTCATCAATTTGTGTGTGGGCTGTGATACTGCCCGGGTGCCCAAACCGAAGCAGGTGGTTATCTTAGGGGGCCACTCCCCGAGCCTTTGACCTAAAGGTCTAACCCACAAGGCAGTGGAGCATCGTAAGGAGATGCAGTCCCATGGTAGCCGGTGACCAACGATTGGTTCATACGCCATTCGTTCCCGCAGGATACTGGAGCCCATGTGCACCATTGATTTGGAATCCGGTTAAAGCGCCGGACATTCGCTTTTCGTCCTCTCATTTTCGTAGACAACACCCCCGCCACGAGAAGGCAATGAGTAGGACTTCCCTGGCAGAGGCTGTATACGCGTGGCCGTGTGAGAGTATTTCGAGAGGGAGAGCGGACTCTCCCCACTCTCGGCCGTACCAGGGCATTCAGGGGGGGGGATAAACTTCCGCTTTGTTCATATCAATGTGCATCTAGAAATTTACTTGCTCATGTGGGGCAGGTTACATTAGCCACACAAAGCGATAACTTTCTAAACGCATTTCAGAACAGTACCCGGTATGGCTTTTAATAAGAGAGTGCAAAACAATTACCAGTTCAATACAGGAGCGTTTAATCGACTCTGGACACATCGTTTTGAAGAAGTCTTTTAAAATAATCACAGTAAAAGGAATTGGATCGAAGGGAGGTCGAATCAAAAACTTATACACTGCTGTGGCATTAGCAACCCACCAACTCAAGCCTGAACTTTGAGTGCCAAAACGATACGTTCAACCTCTCATCCTTCCTTGGTCCTAATTGTCTTTTGCAGTATATTTTAGTTTGTTTTTTTTTCAATTATTTTGATTTTTTCAAATTAATGTTTTGTAATTTTGAACCGTAGTCAGTTATTATTATTCTTTAATAATTTTCCATGATTATTATTCAGTTATCATTATAACCTTTATGTTCTCGCTTTTCTTGAATATCATTAGGCGCACGGCAGTTTTTGTATTTTTTTATTTAATTTGTTTCATCCCTTTTGAAAAACTATCTAATCCCATTTTCCAATTTTTTTTTCATTTCGTCTCGTCTAATTAAATGACTAGTTTTAAATTCGTTATAATTGGTTATTTATTTCTTAAAATTGATATAAAATGTAATTACTTGTCGACAGAGCACTTTTTCTTTGAAATATGGACGATAGTAACGCACGAAGTACAAGCTCTGTCGTTTCTCATGTTGTCACAGAAATAGATAACGTATTCTTGAATACATTGTATCTCATAGCGTTTCAATCACTTGAAGCGTTAAAGAGTGCCATCAGAACTTATGAAAGAGCGACGTACTGCCATTATGCGGTGAGATTTTCGTTTCCATAGAGATCGGAAGCAGTATATTAAACTTGTATGTTGAAGAAATGGTCGTAGAACACCTAGCAATTCCTCACAGCCGATTAGACGAAAGAGGTAATTTGATTATTGTTAATAATGTTCATGAAAAACTTCAATGAACACTCAATATTATGCCTTCATCTTTGGTAAGTTTATTGAAGGTTATTGGACTGTTGTTCGTTGGAGTGTGCATTACAATCACGAGTGCAATTCCCTGAGGTACGGCAGTAATTACTGGATGCGCAGGCTAACAGAGGCTGAATTTGAGACAGCGTGACCACTTCTGATATCTGGGATAGCAGCATTCGATATTATGCACTTCGATTACCAATCTTATAGAAAGCGTTTGAATGCTCAAGATGTTTTTAACATGCGCCATAAAGTCTTCTCACAGGTCAACCTTCCTGGTAAGCAATCTGCCTATTTATATTGTAAACGATAGGTGATTACACCAAATTGAAAGTTCACGTCATGTCGCTTGGTGGGCTTTGTGATTACGAATTAGATGAAGATAATTGTCTGCTGTATTTCTTCTTCACAACTGCAGATCAAATGAATTTATCAACTCGTATTTTTGATGTTGTTGGTTTTGATGGGACCTACAAAACCAATAACGAGGATTTACATTTGTATCAGGTAGTTGCACTGGATGTGAACTTCATGGCAATACCTGTTTGTATTGCATTTATAAGTCGTAAAAACATCTACTTTCTTTTCTCAATTCCTGTCGTTCTTCCACTGATCAACTAACAATCGAGAGCTGGTTGGTATTGTTACTGATGACTCACCTGCAATAGCTGCTGCTATTTCGCTGGTGTATCCCAATTCCCATCATATTTTGTGTCCAGTTCACTTAACTCGTAATGTCATAAAGAGGGTAAGTTTTTCGTTGCTTGACATCAACCCATTAACCGTCATTGTAGAGGCTACGATCTGAAATTATACAACTATTTTTTCGTCTTATGTTTTTCAACTACCCTAGGTAGATTTTCTATACCCACCAACCCAGTTAAACATGAAAACATACGCGTTTCGTCCTTTCGATTTCGAAAACAACATCTCCACCTCGAGAACGCAGCAAGTGGGACAACCCGGGCTGTGGCTTTTAATGCGTGACTATATGTAAACATTTTGAGAGTGATAATAGGTTCTTCTCACACTCGTCCGTACCAAGGCATTTGGGGGCATAACAGGGAATGGTTTATTTGGAATAAAAATAATCTTGACGGTAAACAAAGAGACAAAATATAACCTCGCGCGGATTTAAAAACAAAAAATGTCACAAACAGAATTACGTATCGATGTAGGTACATAAACCTGTATCACTGGTTCAGTAGATTTAACCGCTAACATTTCACCATAAGTTGACAAATTTTAAGTTCTGGTTACCGTGAGGCAAAATTTAACGAAATATTAATCTTGAGATGGTGGAGAAGATTTGTAGCTCAGGTGGATGATTTTGGCGGAGTTTTGTTTTCTGAGCTGGATGGTTTGGTCGTGGAGCTTTCATCGTTTTTCTGAACGACATCATCAGCACAAACTTCAGATAGAAGTGAAGTGTTCGAATTTCTCCATATGTGGTTCACAGCTTGTTCTGTGCACCTCGATGTTGAATGGTTCTTGTTGACCTTAAATTTATCATTGTTTACTTTTTTGTTTTGGTTGTGTCTCCCGTTGGTTTGATTTTTGTTCCTATATTTATGCATGATTTTCCTGATTGGTTGATAAATTGGATTGATTTCAATATGTTTGTTGATTGCTGACTGACCTGAGTGCCAGGCTTCTAAAAATTCTCTGGTGTTTTTGGAGTTTCCTCTAAGATTTCTACATTTTTCAAATCGAATGAGTGTCCGTAGTTATCCACCTTTATTGATATCAGTGAAGAGATATCATGGTATTTGACTGCTAATTGATGTTCATGTGGGCGTAGGTGGAGGGGGGTCCGCTTTGTCCGATGTAGTGTTTGTCGCAGTTGGTACAATTTATTTTGTAAATGATGTTCGATTTGTTTTCCTTTGTTATTTTATCCTTTGGTTTGCATAGGATTGATTGTAGTGATTTTGTTGGTTTGTGTGCCACACCTATCCCTAAGGTTTTCAGCAGTCTCGTTGCGGTTTCTGATATTCCTTGTATGTACGGTAGGGTGATCCTTTGGTTGATTTTTGTGCTTGACCCAAGTCAAGAAATATTAATCGAATAGCATGTTTTTTTCCTTATATTTATTATGATAAAGAAGATTCAGCATAACCTAAACTGTGGTTACGTTATGTACTTGGGTCTGGGAAAAACATCTTACATATGTCAGTAATATCGATCAATACTTGATGCTAAAAATAATTATTATTTGACGATATTTTACCACCAGATGTTTTCAGCAAAGAATATGATGACCACAGAATTAGTAGGCTTAATAAATGTTAACTGATTAATTATTTCATAAAAAACTGGACCGTAAACCTTGATCATTGAATTACTTGTGTGACAGTATCTGTGTGAAGCCAACTTTCATAAACAGGCTACATAATTTAGTTGGGAGCGACAAAACAACGGTGAAATAGCGAATTTATAATAAACAGGGGTGAATAATAATATACTTTGATTATTAAAAGTATTTTGATGAGTAGTTTTTGTAGTACATTTTACAGAGAATCTAAATAATAAAATGTAATATAGGAAAGTGAATAAGAAAAAAATTTCGTAAATTATGACTGAAAACCATAAAATAAGACATACCCTTAGGTGTAAGCAGACTTTGAACACGAAGTTGTGATGATATTAAGTTTGTTGTCGTTATTAAAACAGAATCTCGATCTAGATAAGGGAAACCATAATGTGATGAGAAAGAATCTGATTCACACACATAAAGATTATGAAAGCGGAAAGTAAAAACAACTGACCCGTCTAATAGTTATTTTATGTAAACGTTGGGTCAGAGATAGAAGAAAATATAGGTTAGGTAAAATCAGCCCAACACGTCACATTAACGTTAACTTTATTAAAGCTTAATGTGTTACTTACTGATAACAAGTAGTACGTTTTGAACTGATAAATTATGGTGTCACCGACATATCATCGCTGGTGAAATTATATTCTGAAGGTGCCTAACAAAAAACATCTCTAAAAAGAATCATGTGGGTTAATAGTTTATGACAATTAAATTTTCAGTCTACTAACTTTTACATCAAATATTTTACGAGAATTTCTGTCCATCAGAAACGGATATATTCTGACATCTGGTTTCGTTGATAATTTTGAACAAAAAAAGCCCACTACCTTTTAAATGTAACTGTACGAAATCAGGAGTGATCACTAATATCAGAGACAAAATTATTCGTCTCCAAAATGATTCCCATCGAAAACTAAGTGCTATATATGCGCTTTATGAGTTCTTTCATATATGTAAGTACAGAATACGGGATTTAAAAGTATAGTTCGGATTTCATATATCATACAATAACGGTAAATTCAATTCCCATTGAACGAATAAAAAGACGGAACCAACTTAAAATGGTAGTCGACTAGATAACGCGAATAATTAACATGCGTGTATCTGATACTCTTTAATGCTGACAAGATTAAGGTTAGAAAATTATCCTGACTAGCACCCAAATATTTGAACTGTTGATTACTAAAGTAACCAAAAAGCCTATTTGAAATAATCACTAATGTCTCACTAAAGTATTCTTGCAGTATTGAGTGGAATACCATACATTGCTTTTTTTTTTCGGATGTGTTTAAAATTGTAGACAACTGTTATTTTATGCCATCTACAAGTGATTAAAAGAAGCGATTTGCTCATTGTTTTGATATCTCAATCCATGAATTAAGGTTGAAGTCAGTAATGTACTACGTGTTATTTGTAGGTTTATGATAGCAAGATAGAATAGTAAGATACAAGTGGTTTCCAAACTATTGATACTTATGATCGTTATCAAGCTGTAGAAATCAGTCAGTACCTTGCTGAAGTGATGACTTGCCTGGTTAGATGAATATCTCACCTTACTTTCGCTAAACGATTCAGAAATGTAAGAAATTATTCCAGTTGCCAAGTTACAAATGTTAACTAAAGGCTTCACTATAATTCAAACGGTTACACAATAGTGACCCACAAGATGCAGATTCCTGTACTTGGCTCAGAACCACATTTTATATGTGAGGGCTGGTGATAATACTTGGCTACCCAAACTGAAGTAGGTGGAGTGACACTAGAACCTGTGACTTAGTGGTTGAAATTTAAACACTTTAGTCACCAAACTACCACTCCACTGGTTACAAAACTGAAACAAGTGGTTTCGGTAGACTGTATTCAAGTGTTTTTTCTAGAGAAAATTCATTTTAGAACATAAGTGAATTATCGGAACACGAACCAATAGCAGGTAGACACATAATCAGCTGGCGAAAACTTCGTTCACCTTTCGTTTCAAAACAAACACATGATATTGAAATCGAAAAGGAACTGTTGAAATAACACAACAGTTGGGTGATTTAGTACCATAAGCTTACTGTAAGATGATGTCTAACTTAAAAGGTGGGTGTGGACGTTAGGACAACAAATTATTTTAGTCAATCAGTCAGCTACAACATAGGACCAGCCACATATATGCATCGATTCAAGTTGCCACACCTCATTAGCACAACAAGATGAAGACCGAGTTAATAGAAGTAGTTAATTCAATGATAGTAATATATAAAAGAAAAAGTGTGTATAAGGATATAGTACAGACAAAAAGAATTCGTTGGTAGAAAAATATAAATCAAATATAATCTCTTAGTTTAAGGGAAGACAGGGAGTGTATACACCAACGCCATTGTGATCGATTCTGAGCCATGTCACCAAGAGTCTCCAACCATTGGTTACGATAGCCGCTCGGATTCCAACCAAGTAGTCTACATCTACCAACATGGCTCAGACTAGAAGTTAGTGTCTTCAAGCACTGATGCCACGTTTCGGTTTGGCCAACCCTAACTTTCTTCCAACCATTCTCAACACCGGTTAGCATTGCACGTCGTGGTGATCAGTGTTCGGGCATACGTAACACGTGGCCCAACCATCTCAGTCGACTAAGATTCACAACCTCATCAACTGACTTACCATCGTTCCCTAATACCCTGTGTCTAACCTCACTAGTAGCTTACGAGTGTATTCTACTCTTAATGGCCATGCTTGGCAGCCGTAAGTTAGAACAGAACGAACTGCCGCACAGTATACTCGTCCTTTAATTGATAGACGGATATCTCGCCTTCGCCATAGGTGATGTAAGTTAGCGAAAGCCAAACGAGCTTTTCGAATCCGTGCTGAGATTTCGTCAGACATCAAACCATTATGGCTGATCAGACTTCCAAGATAAGTAAAGTTGTCGACGTGTTGAACTACTTCACTCCCTATCCTTAGTTCAGGTGTTAACGCAGACCAGTTCTGAAGCAACAACATGCATTTAGGGGAGAGAGAAACGCATCCCAAACATCCTGGGATTGTTGCTCAGTGCTTCCAAAAGACTTTGCATCTCATCAGCGTCTTCAGAAAACAGGACTACATTATATGCATATTCTAAGTCGATAAGTGGACCTCCTGGAAGGAGATCAATGTCCGAAAATTCAGTCGACGAGAACGTTATTTGCAGTAGTAGGTCTATGATGAAATTGAACAAAAATGGAGATAGTGGACGGCCTTGACGACCACCACTTAAGGTTGCAAAATCAGATGATAGCTCTCCATAAGCTCTGACTCGACTGGTAGTGTTCGAGTAAAGAGCCTTCACAAGGTTTATGTACTTCTGAGGTACACCTTTCAATGACAGACACTGCCACAGAATTTCTCGGTCTACAGAGTGAAATGCTGCTTTTAAGTCAAGAAAAACTATCATTGTCGGACGTCGATAAGCATGCCTGTGTTCTAAAACCTGACAAATAGTGAATATGTATTCGATGAAGCCACGACCAGGTCTGAAGCCAGCCTGATATTCTCGTGCTTGCAGTTTACGCGACTTTGTTAGGAGTTCGATAATTATTGGGGCTAGTATTTTATATGCTATTTTAGTCAAACCAATCCCTCTATGGTTATCACAGGATGATTTTGACCCCTTTGTATATATTAAGACAATCAGTGATTGCGACCAGTCAGATGGCATATTCATTTCCCAGATTTTAGCTAAAACACTAGTCAATCTAATCGCTGAAATTGGACCACCATACTTGAGGACTTCTAGAGCCAATCCATCTGGACCAGCTGCTATTCCTTGTTTCAGAATAACTATTCCTTATTGGGCTTTAATTAGAGTTAGGGGGCCTACTTCAATGTTCCATCCAGAATGTTTGGGAATGCTAGGTAGCCGTAAGGTAGCTGAAGGCCGGTTGGACTGCTCCATAAAGTGTTCTAAACGTCCGAGCTGAGAGCAGATAATGGTGTTGTCTTTTCCCGAGATCGTCTCACGTACATTTGATTTCTTAATTCGTTTCTTTTACTTACTTACACCTGCAGCTCTTCTAGAGTTACTGCCAGTTCCAAACCCGGGTAAAGAAGGAGGTTTGAACATGGGGTTAGAGACCCCATCCTTTAGAAAACTAACTCGCTAAAAATAATCCAGTTTCTTTTATTAGTCTGCAAAGCTGTCTTGTGTTACCTACAGCAGCTGCCTTTTCCATCTCTTTTACTTTCGTTGCCCACCACTGCTTACGGTCGTTCCTTAGGCTTTTCTTTAACCTATATCTGACTTGTTTTTGCTCTTCATCGTGTTTCAGAATCTGATGGGATGAGTTTACGAGAATCTAGCAGTGCAATAGACTTAGTAAAAATCCACTGGTTTTTCGTAACCCTTTGGTTCAAACCACTAATATATGTCACCGTTGTTTCCACAGCTGTAAGTTCTACTAGTAGAGTGATGAAGTCAATCCATATATAGTGACCATGTTTAGAGTCGTGATGTTAATCTAAATGTAAATAGCATTTACAAATATGCGTACAACACTTATAAACCGATAAATATATGAATATGCCAGAGCAAACAGTTTTGTTAATCATAAAAGGAACATCATAAGAGTAGGTGAACGGAGAAGAATGGCAATTATTAATCAAATCGTACTGTGAAGTATCTGAAATAACAACCCAACATTTTATTTCTAAGGATAGATTATCCAATAAAATATTGGATTGGAATTTCATTTTACTTACCATGAATTTAAGGAATGACCCGTCATTAAAGTAATAATATACAGCATAATTCAATACAGGGAATATGTTTAGCAAAATAGCAATGCACGCCTCCATGAATGAATTCCAAAGGACTTCAAGATGTTTTTTCGGTTTATATCTGGAGCACAGCCACAAAGTAGGCACACTAAAAAACTAGGAATTACATCAAGTGTTACCCAAGAAAGCATGTTAGTGAAGTCAAGTGTTTTTTCCAATGACCAAAGCCCAGCATCGTGATCAGTAGACAACAGATTGTTGGTAAGCTACTGAAAGTTGGAATCTCAAGAACCTATTACTAACGGATAGTAAATAATAGGGACTAACCTCACATTCAATGTTAACAAGAGAAAACTTTAACACAGACCACACTAAGTAATGGCAGAGAAAGCAATTAATGAGTAGTATGTACAACAAATTGACTGGAGCACTCCTGGATGATAAGGTGTCCGTAAAAACTGAAATTACCATATGAGCGGCAACAAAGTTCTCAAAGCCATTATTTCCGCCATAAGTATAGTTCCTAATGTGATCACAAGCAACCTACACAATTCACATTTTAAAAATGCTTACAAACTGTTGCTGCTAACTCGAGAAAATACTTTGCACAAAGAATAATGAAAGCACAATAAAATCAAGAATCTGTGAATATTACATTGAGAATTATCTGTCTTACTGATCTCCAACGTAAAAACTGATGAATGAAGCTGCACAGAGTATATATAACAGAACTAGGAATTCATTCGGAAGCATTTTCTGAGCCTGAAAAAAAGGAATGTTTCATCAGTACAGTTCACCGATTAATGTTGGATAGTATGAAAACGACCAATGTATTATCAAACTAACAAGAAAACGCCGGAAAAAGAGAAGTAAACACAGTCAAATGCGAGTGCGGATACGAAATCACACACATGAGAGGTAAGTAGGTTATTCACCAACACAGACCATCAAGCCTCCTGTCCTTTCTAAACTGAAACTGATATGCGTACAATTACAGACCAAAGTTGGGTTTTTTTGGTCCATTTAACAAAGTGGACTGTGAAAGACTTAGTTACGATGAACAAAAACGCTACTCAACGGCAGCATTGTGTTAATTTGAAATGAAATAAATTTAACCATTCAGTTACATACAACCTACGGAAACATAGTACTCCCCCCTCACTCCAAAAGGACAAGGTCACTTTGGAGCGTATCCAGCGGCGAGCCACGAAATCAGTTCGAGGACTCAAATCTAAGCCTTACGAAGAGCGCCTCCGTTCACTAGACCTTTACCCATTAGAATATAGGCGTCTTAGAGGTGATTTATTAATGGCTTATAGTATTCTTAACACTTCTGGACATCCTCTTAAACACCTACTTAAGCTTGGTTCGAATAACAACCTAAGGGGTAACACCCAGAAACTGGAAACACAACATAGCAAGACGGAATGTAGACACAATTTCTACTCCTTAAGAGTTGTCAAAAGCTGGAGTTCGCTGCCAGCCGAGCTAGTCCAAGCGACTTCTCAGGAGTCCTTCAAGAGGCAACTTGACCTATTCTTAAGGACCAAGAACAGCATCACATTATGATTTACCAATCTCTTTTCCTCTTTTATTGTTAACATACCTAGGTTCCTGCCTGGAGGATTTGGTGATCCCCTGCTACTAGACACGGAAGCCTGTTAAGCGAAAGCTTCTTCTATTCCGTCCACAACCATTTGAACATTTGAACCTAGAATCTGGCACGTGAGTACCGGTTCAGACTGTCACACCTCATTAGCAATGAAGAAATCGTCAGGCCGGATTCCACAGTGGAGATAGTGACAGTATTAGTGGGAATACAACAGACGCATAGAACACATGGTTTGAGGAAGAAATGTAGATTAGCAGAGTAGGAAAAAAACTTCAGATTCAAATTTGTTTCTCGATACATCGTGCCATCAAATATCCTAATCAACGAATAGCATCTGTGCTCTTAATAATTCCTTATTCAAAACTTAATTTGCTCTACTTCAGTTACCTAGTTAACTGAAATTGATTTAACTAATCTTTTAAGTTTAAGAGATATGGGGAGCAAGACATGACACTCCTACAATTGATCACCTGGTATGTTGTAGTTATACGAAAATGTTAGAATAATAGTGTGTAACTTGGAGTCCCAGCAAATTCGGACTGCATTTCAATAACACAACAAACTCCGATTCAAGTTGTGTCAAGGTCTCGACTCAAGGTCAGACTTCAAACTTGACGGACAGAATTAACCAAGTGTATGTTTATTGTCCACTGAATATGAATAGTATGAATACGTTCTTGTTAACGGAATTACATGATTCTTGTTACACCCCTTCTGAAGGTAAGACGGAAAAAATTAGTTCTTAACAGAAGTGACTGTAGAATAACAGCACTGCCAATCTTTCTTCCTATACGTGCGAGACGAAACTAAACATGAAGACTAGTTTAAAAGGTCCATTAGAAACTATCATAACCATTTATCTGCATGGAGATTTCCGCTTACTAATATATAAATGTTTATCGCAGTTATTCAGCACCCTACCCTAACTACGTATTACCAAAATTTCTTAGTGATTTATTACAGTACAAAAAGTTATGGCTGATATGGTGTACCATAATAATACCCTGCTCACTAATACTTCTATGCGGCACATGTTGAGGTTTTAAATTTTCCAGGAGAAATTATACAACCATATCAAGTTAACATCACTTTGTACTAGTTTTGTAGTGCAGTACCGGACCAGGCTGGTCGTTTCAAGCATATTGGTCCGATTCTGTTGATTATCTTTCTGCACTTATATGCATAATTTTAGGCTTTCATCTGTATTTCTTTCTGTTGTAACGTCGTCTGCCTGCTTCCCACTTACCAGTCATATCCATTCAATTGGGCTGGAGATGGAATAAAGACCAAGAGGTTACACGTTGGAACAATTCCTGCATAGCCAATCCATTTCTGACTTACTCTAAATATTTAACCACTGATGCCAGTTATCACGATTACAGTATGTTTAACCTTGAATATCATTTGGTTCGAAATCAATGCCACGTCAAACTCTTAAAGAGCCAGTGAACTTTCACACTCTATGTCAAATCACCCTACAGTCAGGGAGCTGATCCTCGCCAAGGTTGAGGAAAACTAACGTGCATCAATAGATTGCACACCATTGGCTGGTCCATATGATGGTGGTTACAAAATGGTCCAATTACCTACTCTGACTAGTATATTTCTGTAATAATGTCGTTTGTATTGTAAAGTCATCAAGGTAACCGCAGTACTGGGATGTGACAGAAGGTTAATCAACGTCAAGTATTAACTGCGAGATGTGACTTCGACGTCAGCTGGTTGGTCATGCCATTCCCAGTTACTATTGTAGGCTCCAATTATTCAACACAGATCATCGTCTTTGGTAAACTATACTCTTGTAGTAACAGTGCTGTGACAATGAACACTTCCCAGATAACCCTTCAAGGTTAGTGCACTCTACCTTAGAAGATTTACCACTAGATATTGAATATTTGGTGAAAAGTAGAATGGGTATGGGTCGTCCGTGCTAGCGTAGTAACCCTGGTCTCTCATTCAAAAAATTGAATTTGCTTATTGGGTCTCTGATATAAGTACCTAGTTTGGAATTGTTTCTTAGGGAGAGATCATGAGAATTGAAGTCACTAAGCAGTAACATCTGGGGAAAATTCATCTCAGGAACTGGTCTGATGGCTTGAAAAGTGTATTACGAAAGGATGCTGATCCTAAAGTGTTCTGCAAAGTATATCTGCTCCTGGAAGTCGAAGCGTCGTTCCATAGATGGATTGAGCTGCAATGTATCCAATGTCAGCTCTCGCTGCATCGCGAATACCAAGTGAGACGAGTGAAAGGGCGTCGTGAAACGTTTCTAGCTGATAGGGAAGCTCTTAGCTGTCGGTGAAAGCGTTCTGCTCACCCAATTGCCTAAAGGTGGTAGATGGTCGTTCGGAATCGCGTGTTACCTGATAGTGTAGTTAGACAAAGGAAAAGTCCAGATTCGAACTGGCGTCCAGCGTTTGTCGTAATAGTTGAACGGCAGCCGAAGCTTGTTAACCGTGGTTCAATTTAGGCGTGGGCCACTATTTCAGCGGTAATATCATTGATGGTTACCGTTTTTGACCATCGAGTGAAACAGTCGACACAAGTTAAGAGGTAGGAGTATCCACTTGAATCTGGTAAAGGTCCCACCAAATCCAGATGAACATAGTTGAAACGATCATCGGGAGTTAAGAAAAAGCTCAAGGGACATTTGTTGTGTCTAATCACCCAGAGTTCTAGCAACTTACAAAGAAGCGTACCCACTCCCTCAAATCTGTTCAAAGAAGTTATACCAGACAAGGTGTCTACAACCACATTGTTTGCCCCAGGTATGTTTTGTTTATCTGAAGTGGTCTGGAAAAACGTGGTCTAGTTGTCAAGACTGTCGAGAGGAGTACTCGTCTGAAGACGAGCATATAGAGAAGGTAAGAATTTGATAGTCAATAAAGAGTGTATTCTAGGCCTTCAACAGAATATAGAAAATGCCCTGCAGAACAACACATGGCTAGGAGTTCCCACCGAAAGTGCTATGCCTTGCTTCAATGTCTTGCAACCGTCTTGAGGAGAACGTGGTGAGCAAAAAATGTCGAAGACTTACAAAGCTATTTATTTCGAGTATTTATTTACCGCTATTTAATCAAAAAGTGCCTCCAGATTTGAAAGCGAACCTAAAGAACCTTTGCAGTCTCCAGTTACTTGTGATTTTTAACAGGCTACATTAGTAGTTGATATTCTAAACAAGATTATGTGCGTGAAAGTCACTTAAGTAGACATTCAACGTGACAGGAACCTTTCTTTCACTCTAAATGTAAAGCTACTTTCATAAACCTATTTGGTTATATGTTACATGTTTTTTCTGTTCAAAACGAGGTTGTTATTGTTCATTTTACTTATGACTGTCTAAACATCACCACTTTTGTTGCATAGTACTTTAACTGAAAGTCTTAGCTTTTGCATTGTTGATCGAAGTTTGTATGAGGTTGAAAACTTCACGCTATCTGCTCCTAGTTCTGGTTTACAGATTGTTTTAATCGGAGTTTTGTGTTGTAGCGTGGCGTCGAGTCGAAGTTAACTATGAACACCGCTACAAAGAAACACGTGCCAAGTAGATCAGAAGGCGAAGGTTGAATGCAACCAAATAAATCCATAAAATCCCCGAAAAGCCAAATATCAGAAGACAGTTAATGGACCTAATCGAGATATATTCGCTGGCGATCTCGTGGCATCGAAAGGATACCGAGATCGTGCCAGGATAGAAGCTTGGTTACAGAACGTAACCGAATTCGCGCGAAGTTACAATCAAAGTGTAAGAATAAGAATGGAAGCACAATATAGCTGTCATTAGCACAGCCAAACAAAAGCACATTAAAACAAACACTGGTACACTTGGTTATAATAATAATTGTTCTTATTAAACCAGTCGTGTTCTCGTGATAAATGTGAGTCACTACAGTGTAATCGTTGGTCGTAGTCTGTTGCTTTTCCTATTAAGTGTAAGTGTATTTTGTACGTTTTCATGGTCGTAGGCTCTTATGTTCTCCTCATTTACAGCTATATTCACGCACTACTATGCATGCTCCCCAGTGCACGAAGTAACTCCGGCTAGACATGAACCGCTACAGACGTGTTTCAACGGTGCGATTATTGAATAGATGTAAATCTTGGAATTGTTTTACAGATTATTATCATTACATAGGATTCCATGAAATTATTAAATAACCAGATTATTCTTTTCACATAACCCCTGTATTGTGAGTTTCCACTAGACTCTCTAACTATAGCTGTACGCTTTACTATCTTTTAACCATTACTGATGAATTATTCACGTCTTGTTTCGTTTTCAGAAGCTTATGGCTTATTAATGTATGAAAAATTTCTCAGTTGGAATATATTGTATTCTGATAATACATGTATATGAGCTCACAAGCATTTAATTTATGTTGAACATCTGCTCAGTAGAGATAGTATCTGGTTACAAACTTCTGATCAGATACTGAGTCAGTAAATAAACGACGGACAATAAGGTTCTTGCCGTTGTCGATTGGTCACTGCGTCATTGGAAAATTAAAAGCTCATTGGTCCCACAAATGATATAGGCAATATAATTTATCAACGGACATAAGAATTATCTGCTCTTATAATAGATAACCTGATCACAAGGCGACAAAGTAGAATAGAATAAGGCTTCTTTGAAGGTATGACATAACATAGTTGATTGTCTACGTTTGATTAGATCGAACTGTTTATTCCTTCGTAGATAGAAATACGTCCCTTATTTGTCATAAATGTCATTTCTTTCCGACAAGAAACTAGCTTTATGTCCTTAAGTCATTTGTCTTCTTTAGTTTTTGTCGTTCTGGCCTTAGAACGGTTTCGGCATGACGTGGAGAAAAGTAAAGTATTCCGTAGATTTTATAATTATTACTCATATTAATGTATAACAGAAACTCTATTATGACCAAATTTTCGTGTCCTGATATATTTGTGTGGATGAGAGACTAATCAGTCTTACGGTTATAAAGAATATCAGTCTATAGCTTCGCAAATTCTGAATGTGATAAATAGAGTTTGCCTACTTATTTCTGTCTTATTCGTCCCAGTAAAATCGTGCAATTAGCTCGATAGTTGCAGAAGTCTCTGCTATATAATCAGATTTTGCAGTGAACCCGATTGTCTTGATTGGTTTTAGTTGTAGCATAGGAGTTACGAACGATAGCCCTTAACACATGATGTGCCTAGGATTTCTCCGCAGAAAGCGTTACGTCTTGAGTCGATACCTTATAATCATCTTGCAAAAACTTCAAGATAAAACTAATGGTTGCCTACGACTTACGTAAAACTGCTACTGTTTCTTGTTTAGTTCATTAAATGTAGAACGTTATTTAATGGTGATCAATTTCGCGTAATGAGAAATAACTGTCAACCTAATTTTCAGCAAACGAATGTTCTATGAATCAACACGAGTGCAAAGCAATTTCGAAAAAATAGTTAAAGGATTAATTTACTAACTAAAATTTATTATTTGAGAAGAAATGTTATACAAGAGTATTAATCTTAGATTGGGTGATATTCGATATACAAATTTAAATGACGAAAGCAA